GCAAGATCTCGCCGCCTCTCCTCCTCCGTCGTTTCTATTCAACAACAACCTTCGATCCTCCATCGTCCTCTGACGACGAGACCCCTTCCGATCCCTCTTTTCCCCGGTTTAACTCAGAGATCTTGGATTCGTCCCCAGAGAATGAAGAGTACGAAGATCTTACTATCACTCAGGCAACTCCATTAGTAAGCCCATCGATTCATCCTATTGGTAGATATACCGTAGCAGATGTAGCTGAGAGAGTGGGTCCGTCTGTGGTCCGAGTCGTTGTTCCGAGTAGTGATAAGCGGAAGAAGAGTCAGGGCTCCGGCTTCTTCATAGATCGTAAGAGAGTTCTCACTTGCGCTCATGTGGTTGTCGACACTGACGAAGAGGGAGAGATTCTTTCATATCCAGATAAGGTAATTTCAAGACTTATTTTTATTCGACACACTAGATTAAATCAGATATGAATATTGGGGAATATATATTTTATCACATTCTTAGATCTAGAAACTTATTTTCACTATACCCTCTTTATTTTAGCTTGTGCGAATATTTATTTTGCTAAATGGTATAACACTAAGATTCACTGTTTCGAGTTAAATAACTCGTAATTTCTGAATTAACATATCAAGTGTTTTTACAATATTTTTTGTTGGATCACTATTATATTAATTGCCATTCTATAATAACAGGTAGTGTTAAAAACTCATAATGGAAATTTTGTTGATGCTAAACTACTGACACATACTGTATCACTACATTACGATATTGCCGTGCTTGAAATTACGAGCGAAGAAACATTTCAACCCGTGATGTTCGGGAATTCAAGACAAGTGCTTCTAGGAGGGTGGGTTATTGCTTTCGGTTCTCCGAACTATATGGATAGGACACTCTCCCTTGGAACTATCAAGTAAGTTCTCAATTTAAAAGCTATTGTCATTCTTTTAATGATTTATTTCCCATTATTCTCATTTTGTTTTCTTATTCTTTTGGTTTCTGATAGCTGTATTGACAGAACCGATGTTGAATTGCGCTTGCCTAAGCATAAGAGAATCTTCTATTTTCAGTGTGACTGTATGCTTAATGTGGTAATCTAATTATTTAATAGACATTTGTATAATCTTCACTTAAAAGACTCGTTTAATATATTTTGACTTTCTTGCAGGGAAATATGGGAGGTCCACTAGTGGACCTAGAGGGTAATGTCATTGCTCTAATCTCCATGGCCTTTGTCGGAGGTATTGGAATATCAGTTCCTATTCACACCGTCCGCAAATTTCTAAAAGATAAATTTTGAAAAATAGTACATAATGCGATACTAAGTAATATATTGTTTGTTTTGAACGAGTTTTATGTCCCTTTGGATTTTTTCTATAAGTAGTCAATTTGCTTGAATATTCTATTTGCCTAGAAACAAATACTTTTATTCTTTAGATATAAATAACACTTTAACAATCACAGATACATAAAACTTTATAATTTCGATGGTACAAACAGTTTAAGGATGGCAAGATTTTCATACATACAAGGAAAAGGAAAACAAGTTTCTAGGATTTCTTACTATGAAGTAACTATCATAGATACATGAAACTTAATAAAGATCCACATGAGCAAACATAGTCCAATTTTATTCCCAAAAACCGGAATTAAAAGCACACACGAAGAAAGACGATCTAAAATAGAATTTTCTTCCCATTGCATATAGTATTTAAAGTTGTTTCTTTCAGTAGCAACTGAATCTTAAACATTTTAAGATCCATTATACCACAAAAATCAAATCAGTAGAACTCGAAAAATACGAGCCTGATGCCGATATATGACTTGCCGTTTTGCCATTACCATAAACCCAAGTTTATTTGTCTCCTCCTCTCTTCTCATGGCCAAGCTAAACAAACTGTTGGGGAGATTTTCCAAAATGAGGTTCCTCTCTCTCTTTCCTTGAATGGCTTTGTCTGCATTTGCTGCCGGTTTCATTCCCTTGAAGGTTGAAGGTTTTTATTTTATTTTAAATGAATTATTTGGTTGAAGGGTTTAAATTAAGAGATTTGTGGGCGAAATCGCTATCTAAGAAGCTAATATATGTAGAGAGGTGGAGGCTGATTTTATTTTTGAAGGTGGAGGAGATAACTATTAGATAATAACATCACATTTTATGTTTGGTCCTAGTCATATATATGAAAGGAGGCTATCTCTCTCCATCCTTCCGCCACGTCAGCATTTTTGGCTCTTCTGGAGATGACGCATCAGCTTTTATTCGTCCAATCAAAACATTTCATTAATACACATCAGCTTCTAACTATAAGTGTCAAATGGAATAAAGAAAATAGCCCATAACGGATGGACCATATGTGTGTTATAATCTATTAGAGTGCAATATTTATGGGTCGAGCCCATTTCATTGATGACTTAATGCTTTTAAACCCAACAAATATTCTAAGTTCCCACAAGACTTTAACAAAATAGATCTCTCCCACTCTCTGCTCGATCATTCAATATAAAAGAAGAAAAATCTCAAGGCAAATTTCTCAACTTCGTAAATTTCATCCTTCATAGTCTCCCTTTCTGTACATCATCTTTCTTTAGAACAAATGTTTTTTACGTTCTAACTGCCAGAATGGAGGCCACTATAGAAGTTACACAAAAACATATTCACACTCACAGCTTATGGAATTACAAACTTTCACTACTATAAACTCTATAAATACTCAAACAGACATTGTTTATACCGGATTATATGTGTTTCAGACAACATTAGTAAATGTTTACCAAGGTGCAAGGAACATAAAGACGATACATAACCACCATCATGTACAACATACACGAGAATTACAAAATGAAAACATCAGATACAACTCAAGTTGACAATATCGATATACACAACATTGAATAGCTACTCACCTGAATTATCACTGAGGTCACATATATTCTGTAGCGTCATTTTTAGTATCGTTTCATACTCCCTTTTAACTTTTCCTATCAATTGAAACAATATAAAGGTAAATCAGTTTTCTAATTTCTACTCAAACCCAAAGTCACCCGCGGCGACTGTAAAGGGTGATATCACCGATCTGGTTTACGGCACTCTCCAAATAAACTCATATCGTCCGGGATAATAAGATTTGTTTTCTTTCACAATCAAAACAAATTCAATAGCTATAACTGCACTTATTCTAAAGAGAGGCTATTGTGGAAATATCATTCCAAATTTTTGTCATTTTCATAAATATTTCACTGTAATGCCATTACCAATATTAATCGTTGTATGTCAAGATGTTTGCATGGCTTCAAACATCTTTTGAAGTAGGCTCCTTTGATCACAAGACTGGCTTCAAAAAATTGTTAACACATCTACCGCGGTTACTTGCCTTTCCTCCTACCGCCTCGTTTCTTCTTTCTTTAATTCTTTTTGCCTCTTTTCTACTGTCTTTTACTTTCCTTGCCTCCTCCAATTTCTCCTCCGATCTTGATCTTGATCTTACCGTAATTGGTAATCTTCTTATCTCTGTCATTAGTTCTTCAAAAACAAGAATGTAGCAAATGCCTAACATCAAGTACACCACTAAAAAAAATTCCCTACTATTCATTTAACGACTCTCTCCTCTAGCTTATGTATCCCCTTTGCGGGTTTCTTCGTACTTCCACCACCAAGTTGTCCTCCAAATTTGCCAAGAATCATATTCAGTTCAAACATCTTCTCTTCTCTTTCTTTATGTTTACTCACGCTACACTAAACTATAGCCTCTGTTTCTTTTGAGGCTTTCCACCAAGTGCATTCATTTATTATTCTCCAATGCTTTCTTATTTTTCATGTCATGTACCTTCAAAGATTAAGATCATATTAAACAAAAAAAAAAAGATTAAGATCATGTAATAAGAATATAAACTTGCATCACCATGGGGAGTGTTAAACTTGTCAATGTCTTCAAAGTAAGAGAAAACATAATGAATTTGAGGATATGGAAAACATCTTCAAGCCTACAATTCTTCACTTTCTCTTATATCATAATGCTCAAAGCAAAAATTGGCAAAGGCAATGAAAATTTCTACAACTTAATAGTCTATATATGCTTCTCGTATTGATCATCAAAGCTTGTGTATCTAGATCTACCTGAGTCTTTCCTTATGATATAACAGAGACAATTACACGCATCAAGAGAGAGAAGACCGTGGTTACCAAAGTTCTCAACATCATTCATAATCTTCCTAAAGCTCAAGTTAGTATCAATAGTTCCTGAGATTTGATAAAAGAAAGGTGCACCCCATGCCTTGTTTTTTCATCTCCTTTGGATTGCGATTATACTTTTTTTTTTTTTTTCAATTATCCTGAAACAAAGAAGAAACATTAAACTTTGCGACTCCATAACTTGAATCTGTGAAAACATCACAATCAAATTCCGATTCCCATTTGCCCGATTAATCTAGATGCGAACAATTACGAAAGACGATGAAATTTAGAGATCGAAAATACAAACCTGAATGCGAAAAACATGGTTGGGAATAAGAAGAGATAATCGAAGAAGCTAGCTTGGCTGCTTGGGAAGGATCGGCTATGGAGTCGAAAAGGGTTTTAGGAATTTGACCGAGAGTTCACCTCTTATGCCACTAATCGAGAATCGGTAACCTCTTATGTCACTCTTATGTTTGGTTTTTATTATCGAATTAATTTTAAATCGAGAAAGTGAGTAAATTACATAAAACCCAGACGAAAATAAGTAAATTACGACCCAACCAAACAATCAGAACCCAGCCCATAAGAAAATAACCCGGCCCATATAAAATCCCCAAATTTACCCTAATTCTGAAAATTTCTCTAAGTAAAACTAAAACCGTAAAAATCATCTCTTTCACTACTCCGCCGTCTCCGAGTTCTCTTTGTTCTCTCTGTCGCGAATCTCCGTCGCTTCTTTTCCGTTTTCGTTGTATCCGGCGTATCGTCGTCTCCGCCATCTTCTTCTAGCGTGGGAACTTCGTACTCCGTCATTCGTCTCCTCCGTCTCCTCCTCAGTGGTTTGTCTTTTCGTCTCCTCCGACTCCGTTCAGCGTGTCTTCGTCTCGTTCTTATATGGTTCGCGTGAAAGGTAGAGATAACAGGGTATATGAATCAACAGAAGGGTCTCGAGAAGGGGCTGCAAATTCGGATCCAACAAAAGCTTCGACGGACGCTTCAGTTCCAACAGAAGCTTCGACGGACGCCGCAATTCCAAAAGATGCTCCGACGGATGCCGCTTCTCCAACAGAAGCTCCAATGGATGCCGCTGTTCTTCCAACAGAAGAACCGACGGATGCCGCTGTAATTGTTCCAACAGTGGAATCCACAGAAGCAACCACCGAAGAATTAGAAGTTTTTTCGGTTCCGGAATTGTCTGATAAAGAAGAGAAAGAAGAAGCCAGTGAGTCAAAGGAAGAAGAAGTCGGTGAGCATGATAAAGAAGTCTGTGAGTTGTCAATTGATGGTCAGGGTTGTGATAACGAGGAAGAAGAGAGAGTTGTTGATGCTGAGGGTGAAGATGTTGCTGGTGATAATGAGGAGGAAGATGTTGCTGGTGTTATTAAGGTAAGTAACAGTTTGTATTTGTTGTATATGGTGTGTTAAAGGTAAGCAACAGACATAGTTGTACTCAGTTGTATGTGTTTGAATATGCAGAATATAGTTGATGATATTGCTGCTGAGGAAGAGGAAGAGGATAGGGTTAATGATGTTGCAGCTGATACAGATGAGGATGATGATGATGAGGAATCCCAACCACTGCCGCCAGAGAGCATGTACTTTAGTCCAACTGAGTACAACAAGGTATGTAAGGTAGGGAGTAGGTGTAGAGTTGGCCAAACAGTGGCCATGATAGAGGCATTTGATGAGGAAGTTAGTTGGTTTAGGAATCATGCTCAGTTTAGGCATATATTCCACATGCCTAAGGAACCAAATCACATGATTCAAGGCATGTGGATGCTTATGCTTTGCACTGCTCGCACGGATATGGAGAATGAGTGTTGGTTTGTTGTGAATGGAGTACCTATAAGGTACTCCTTGAAAGAGCATGCTTTGTTAACCGGGTTGGACTGCCATGAGTACCCAAAGAATCATGAGAAGAAGGGTAGTTTGAGGTTTGTCAGAAGGATGTTTGGGAGGACAGACCTAATCAAAATCAAAGATGTAGAAAAGAAGTTGGCAGCTATTAAGAGTGAGAAGTGTTTGGATAGGAAGAAGTTGATTATTTTGTTGTTTTTATGTGAGGTTGTGAAGGCTGATTCTAAGGGTGATGGGAACATAGAGCAATTCCTGTTAAGGATTGTTGATGATGTTCATGCTTGTGAGACATTCCCGTGGGGAAGGTATTCTTTTGAGCAATGTATGACAGGGATCCGGAGAATGATGAAAAACTTGAAAGGTTCGGTGAAACCAAAAGCACAGAGCAGCTTTTTTGGATTCATCACTCCTCTTGAGGTAAAAACTTGTGAATATTGTAATGAGTTACAGTGTTAAAGTTATAGTATTAAAACTGTATTATTGTGAATGTGTAGATTTTTGCATTTGAGTGCATACCACAACTTGGAAGGCGATTCAGAGAAGCTGTTCCCGCAGCTAATGACTGTCCAAGAATGTGCAAATCTAAATTCACTGACAGTTGCATGAAGGGCGTTACCTTGGATGAAATAAACCAATCCCTTGGTGAAATTAAGGTTAGCTTTTGGTGCCTTTACTTCTCTTAGTATGCATATGTATTGAGATTGATGCTATGTGTATTTGACAGGATATCTCAAGCATCTTGGAACCTGATATGGATGAGAAAGAGATGTTGTCTGGCCTTGTTGAGAAAGATGTTGATGAAGGGATGGGAGAGAGCAGCTGATCAGAAAGAAGAAGAAAATCTGGTGGAAAAGTCTATACCAGATGGACTTGCAGGCTCGGGGTTTTGGTGATGTTGTCCCTGAAGTGGCTGAGAGGCTTGGTGATGTTAAAGAAAGTGATGGTGAAGTCCCTGAGAGGCTTGGTGATATCCTCTCATTACAGTCAGCTGTGGACAAAGGATTTGCGAAGATCATGGAGAAGTTGTCTGAGATGGATAGCAAAGTGAGTATGCTGGATGGGAGAGTGAAAGACTTAGAGGGTTATGTATCAGTCCAGCTAGAGAAAGAACGGTACAATGAGTATCATCCAGGGACTTCAAGTGATTTTGTGCCAACCTATTGTACACCAACTACTAATCAACCAATAGCGAGTCCGACAAAGGCTTTGGTCCTTCACAGTGGTTTCACAGACCCTAAGCCAATCCAGATTCAAGAATTGAGTGAGTTTACATTTTTGTAGTTTTTATTGTAACATACATGTTCTAACATTGGAGTTGTGTAGGTGATGAAGGTGATCAGGAGCAGCTGGCTAGGAAAGAGAAGGAGAACAAGAAGAAGAAAGCAGTGAGGCCGAAGCATAGTGGCCCTACAATCCAGACCGGGAAAAAGAGACAAAGGAAGGCTTCCAGGTTTCAGGCTGAAGAGTTTACAGCAGAGGGGAAGGGGAAGGGGAAGAAGCGGCAGAAGAAATAGGCATGGACACACGGGTACTTTATGAGAGATCACTCTTTATGAGTAATTGCTTTTGTGTAGGACAAAACTTATATTTTCTGAGTATTTTGCGGTTATCTTTTATTAGGATTCAAAACATTGTACTATCTTTTGGTTGTGTTGTGGTTTAGGTGCATTTTTTGTATTTGGAGTTTAGGTTGATCCAGAAATTATATTTTAAAAAATTATGCATCTGGTCCAACTACTAACAAACGTGGGACAACTATTAACACAAGTAGGACAACAGGAACAACGATTAGTAATCCTGGGACAACTATGTGATGAACCAGGGACAACAGGGATAACTACTAACAATACATGGACAACTACTATTAAGAACGATGGACAACATGGACAACTACTAACAATACAGGGACAACTACTAATAATCCAGAGACAACTATGTGGACAACCAGGAACAACTACTAAATACAATATATTTAAATTTTAGTTGGACCAGTTGATCCAGAGACAACAACTATTAAAAATACTTAGTGAATACATATAAGTCGGGGTTGTACCGGTTGAACCAAGTACAACTACCATTACTGCAGGTACAACTACTAATAATACTTCATGAAAACACAATTCCATATCCAAAATACAAATTCAAATATTACAAAGAGTAGGTGGTAATCATACAATATTACCACCTTGAAAGTAACCCCCTAAGCCTCGCAATCTCGACTTCTTTTGTGGCTAACCTCTCTTTAAGGTCATCATTTCTTCACGCATAAGACGAAGAGTTTCCCGGATCGACTCCAATGCAGGATTTCCACCCCTCCCATATTCAAGAGAGGTTAACACGTCATCTTTATGTCTGTCAAATAGGTGGTGTATCTTGGACAGCTCCTCAGTTACCGCCCAATCCCACCACTGAACTAGGTGATCTCGATTATCCTTATATTCGTCTCCATCCTAAGAAGAATATAAAAAGTTAAAACCAGCAAGTTGTACTTAGTTGTTCCAGAATTGCAACTAAACCATACCTTAAGCATTGGGCATCTGTATACGCGCTCTCCTTGGCGCTGTCCTGTTAGACATCGCTCAAGTTTGACCATCTCACCATAGAAACACCTCTCGGGAACACCATAATTCGCATCTGCATTACATTCTCCACTGTTGATGCTTGCTACGGATGTGGAGGGTTGGGAGTAACTATAAGGCATATCTACGGTTTAGAAGATGAGTAGATCTGACCATTCAATCAAACATAAATCAATTAAATCTTAGTAAATTCGAATTAGTAGAAAGCAGATCTATTAAATTGAAGTAGTCTAAGAGAATTGCCATACCTTATAACGGCGAGAGAAGGAAGAAGGAGCATAGATCTGAAAACCCTAATTTTTTGGCTTCTCGTTTTCAATAACAGAAGAAGAAGAGAGAAGAAGATATGTGAGAGAAGTACCCAGATTTCGCAAAATTTGAAGAAATCTGAAAACCCTAATTTTTGGTGGTCTCGTGAAGAAGAGAGAAGAAGAAGAGAGAAAAGAAGAAGAAGAATCGGAGTCGAGATGTGAGAGAGAGAGAGAGAGTAGACTTATTATATGAGAAGACTAGTGTGAACACATTTTTGTGGGACCGGTTTGAGTCAAAAACTAGTCAAAGACTAGTTTGAACACATTTCTGTGGGACCCCCGACAAATAGATTTTCTACATAGTTGTCTTTAGATGTTCAGTTGTCCTAATTTCCTCACAGTTGAACTATTTCTAAATTTGTAATTTTGTAGTTGAACCTTAAAAAATACCATAGATATCTAGTTGTTCACATCAATTTCCACATTATATTGGTGTTTAAGAAGTTTTCATAGAATAATTTGTCAGAAAACATAGTTTCCATACTTCTTCCATCTTTATAGATGATCTTGAACTAATTGTTCATTATTACCTAAAGAGTGATTTGTGTAATTTTGGTTTTTGCTCACATTAATTATTGATAATGTTACATATCATATATTAAAAGTATTAAATGTACTTTCAGAGTTTAAAAATGTTTTAATCACTTATTATGGTATAATTTATGTAATTTTGTATTTTTTGTAGTTTTAGTTGTTTCCAGTTGTATCGGTTGAACCCAGAAACCATTCTTGCTAATATTGTAAAAAAATAAAATAGTTTATATTACAAACTTATAAATAATAATCCATATATTACAAAGCGATATTAGTCTTACAAATAAAAATACAAGTACAAAGTTGTTTAAGTTGTTCCGGTTGAACCCAAATGGTTACACAGTTGTTCCAGTTTAACCAAAATGGTCCAGTTGTTCCAGTTGAACCGTATTGGTAAAGCAGTTGTATCGGTTGAACCAGGGAATTAATCAAGATGCTTCTGGATCCTTGGGCTGTAGCCATCTCTCCAAGTTAATTCCTGGAACAGCTTTGTTACTCTTTCTCCGTTTTTCTCCAACAGATGGAAACCGTTTATCTTGATTGCGTCCTTTTTTTGGAGTGTAATCCGGCGGCTCAGCTTCCAACTCTTTAACTGACTCGGGAATATTCCATTCTGACTCATGTGGCACTACAAACAACGTCCTGTAATATGCCAATGCCCAAGTATCAATCAAATAAAAGACGGAGCAAAGTCCATATATGCTTACATATGCATTTATCCCTTCCTTGCGGGCTAGGAACCTTGATGCGGCAATGGCATGGACACACGGGTACTTGTCTATATCAAATGTCTTGCAAGAACAAGTTTTCATTTTCAAATCCACCAAAAAGCTTACCGACATCCCATCAATGACGTTGTATTCTTGTCTATAACTGTTAAGCTCAACAACTTTTAACTTCGCAGCAACTGGACATCGAGCATGCAAGATGTTCTCCACAAAAGGCACAACATGTGATGTGCTCGATGCATTACCTGAATCTTGCCTATGGTTGTTAAACCATTCAGAGAACTTCTCAACCATGGCATCAATCATAGGTAAGAGGTGATACTTCCTCGCTTTCCTAAACACAGCGTTCATGGACTCCGCAACATTGCTAGTGTCTATGTTGTACTTGTCTCCTTGGAAATGGTACCTAGACCACTACTCTCTCCCTATGGCTTTATCTAGATAGTCAGCAGCATTAGACCACCGACTCCTAAAAATACCATATTCTCTATTGAACTCACTCTCAGTATAAGCATGAGCGCACTCCAAGAACTTCTTCGCAGCTCCATCCTTATCAGTCTTAGCACGGAGTCTTAGATTTTGAGACAAATGCCATATACAGTTTACATGATGCGCATTCGGGTACACCGTCATGACAACCTTCTTGATGCTTTGATGCCTGTCACTAATAAACACCAAATCAGGAACTTCTGGATATACAGTTTTCAGCTTTTGGAAAAACCAAATCCAACTAACATCCTTCTCCGCATCAATTACACCAAATGCAAGAGGATAATGGTGATGATTAGGATCTTGAGCTGTTGCAATAACCAACATCCCACCATATACAGTTTTGAGATGAGTTGCATCCACAATTATCACTTTCCTCATTTCCCTTAAACCTTCAATGCTAGCTCCCAAAGCGATGAATAGGTACTTGAACTTCTTCTCTTCCAACTCCACACTTGTTACAGTCCCTCTATTTACCTTCTCTAACATGTAGAGATAAGAAAACAACATCTTGTAGCTTTTTTCTGGTCCACCTCTCACTTCACTAACATGCTGCATTTTCCCTCTTAATGCAGTGGAGTATGAACAATGCACACCAAGTCTTCCTGTCACAATAGACATGATGCTTTTTGGAACTGGGGTCTGTAGATTACCTGGAAAGTCAGCATGCAAAACAGCTGCTATTAATCGTGGTGTTCCTCTCTGTACACTATTGCTTGTAGACTCAACAGACCGCGAGCATGTATGGATCTTTCTATGCATTCTAACACTCCAATAATCTGATTACTTTGTTCTCGCAACTCGTAAATACCATTTACACCCTTGAGAATATTGTTTGCATCGTAACATAAGTCTCAACGGGTCAGACTTAACTGTTAAAACCCCATAAACTTCTTGTTTTGCAGCTTTGTTTACCAATTCCCACAGTGCCTCCTTAGAACAAAATTCTTGATAAAGTTCTATACCCGTACCATCTTCCCATTCTATATTCTTCGGAGTACCTTTTACACGATTTGGAATAGCTGGAATATCATCAAAATCACACATACCATGCACATCTTCATCCAAATGGTTATCCATCGACCTTTCCACAGCCACAACTTCCATACCTGTCACATTCTGACACACTTCATTCACCATAACTTCATTCACCATATCTTCATTCACCAAAACTTCATTCACATCATTCACCAAAACTTCATTCTCATCATTCTCCAAAACTTCATTCACATCATTCTCCAAAACTTCATTCACATCATTCTCCAAAACTTCATTCACATTCACTAGCTCCACATAATTCCCACTAACTGAACTTCGACGCTCCGGTACTAAGATTTCCACCCTCTGGTTATTGTCACTTAATACCTCCACATGCAACACTGGAATACGACCCTCTTCATCACATTCTGTTAAGAAAATGTATACGTCCTCATCATCTACAATATATGTCTCTCTCCGAGCTTTAGATAGATTGTAACTCAGTTTCAGATTCCCAGGGACTCCATTCTGAGCAACCTTCGTAGTGATCTTATCTAATAGCACCGAATAAGTTATCTTCTCTAAACATGCCGTCTTAAACGATATAGCGTATAGTGAATTTTTAAAATCCACTCATTCCGTTCTAAATAGTACCCTCCATAGTCAAAATGTACGTAGTCTGGGTCTTCTTCTTCATCGCCGCCTGAAATTACAACAATTTTAAACATAATTACCAACACAATTTGTCACAGTTATACTAGTTGTACCAGTTGGCCTACAGTCTATCATTTGTACCAGTTGGCCTATACTCTAACAGCTGTACCAGTTGACTATGGAGGGTACTATCCTGAAAATACAACATTTAAAAACAGCACAAATCTACACCATTTTTCACAGTTGTACTAGTTGTACCAGTTGGCCTACATACTATCAGTTGTACCAGTTGGCCTACATACTATCAGTTGTACCAGTTGGCCTACATAATAACAGTTGAACCAGTTGACTATGGAGTACTATCCTGAAAATACAATAATTAAAAACTGCACATACACCATTTGTCACTTTTATACTAGTTGTACCAGTTGGCCAACAGACTATCAGTTGTACCAGTTGGCCTATAGTCTATCAGTTGTACCAGTTGAATAATTAAACTTAATTGTACCAATTGAATTCTCGGCTGAGATCTAACTCGATTCTACATAAAATGTGACTCGATTCAACAATGGACGAGCTACATTCGTTTAATAACCATAGCAAATACCTCAATTCGCCAATATACATTCGATAAACCCCTATAAAACCCAATTTTCATTTGAAATCCCTAATTTAAAAAAATTCCAGATTACTCATAAATTATCTAAAATCCAAACAATGCAGCAATGCCAAGAGGATTTATGAGAAGAAACTAACCGGTTTTGAGAAGGAGGAGGCACCTGCTGAGCCGTAGTTGCAGATTGGAGTGAGCGGCGGAGGAGGAGAGAAGAAGAGGAGCGTCGGGTGAGGTTCGGAGAAGAGAGAGAGAGCGGAGAGAGAGAAGGACGAGAGAGGAGAGAGAGGAGAGATTCTTTTCTTTTTCAATTTTTTTTTCCTTCTTTCATTAAGGGTATTTTGGTCAGTTCACATTTTCGGTGGCATGTAGATTTTTTGGTGGCATGCCAGATTTTTTTTTTCTCAAAAGTGGCATAAGTGACAATTTTTCAATTTGACCGGGATGGGCTAAAGATATTTACCTTTATTAGGAAATAATTGATGGAAAAGAAAAGTGACATGTAAAAACTTTAAGCTGAGTTGTATTAATGAAATGTTTTTATTGGCTGATGTGTCACACTCAGAAAAGCTGATAAAGCTGATGTGTCAGATCAGGAGAAAAACCTAGTGTTTTTATTGTATTGATAATAACAAATAAAAAATAAACATAAATTAGCAAGAACAATCAATAATTTTTTCTTCACAATTTTCAAAACAAACCCACGCGTAGCATGGGTATTCATCTAGTAATAATAATCAGTTTTAGCCTCTTAGTATATGGATTTTGGACAAAAAAATGGTTGGTTCCGTATGTTTTTGTCTACGTGCTTTAAAATCATTGCTTCTATATATATATTTTTTCTCAAATGCTCCTCTCCTAAACGAGAAAAAGAAAAAAGAAAAAAAAAAACGAAGATTAATTCATTTGTGGCTTATTCTCATATCATAAGTTCTTTCACCAAGAAATAAAATCTACACTTTATCTTATTTTTCTAAATACCCTTCTAAGTTCTACCTTTACAATAATAGTATTTTTTAATTTCCCCCTTCCTTTACAATTTATTTTAATTAATCCGAAAATAAACAATTAATTATACAAAAGAAAATATTCCAACCAATCAATGCTCATCTTAGATAAGCAATCATCAAACTGTTTAATTTGGGTCTCATAAGTTATGTTGTGATCTTTCTACAATTGTGTGAAGTATGTTTCACTTGCCAATTGAGATCTTTGAGATGCACAATTAAGTATCAATCATATACTAAACACATTTCATCTAGTTTAATAATCACTTGCTGCCTATTAATATTTCATTACATCGACGAGAGAGAACAATACAATGAAATTGAAGTGATGAAGGTAATCTTCTGTACAGCTTTCAATCAAAACCTTTTTTTTTTTTTTTCCTTCTCTTTGAGAGCAAACATCATAAATCCACAAATAATCAAACTCGCCCAAAAGACTTTCACGATTTGACTCAGCACACATTCCTTTTTCAGTTCTATTGCTTCGACAGGGCAATTCAACAAGCCAGATGATGTTTCATGCTCCTTTTTGGTCTGTGCCCTTTGATGTAATCTTAGACTTGAGTGCTAAGCTACTTATATCGTCGTCTCCTTCTAGATCACTGAAAGAAACATCATCCTCATTCACTGTGAACATTGGAGCCCAAGAATTAGCAGAATCTTCTTCGTCTGGCCAATCATCATCATCGTCATCAACATCTTTAGATGCTTGGCTAAGGCTTGCACTATTTTTGTCGTTCTTCTGGATTGGTTTTTCCTCGATAACAGCTTTATCGATAAACTGAGCGTTTTCAGACCCGTGTTCGAAATCGCGATACATAATCGAAGGAGGTTCAAAAGCATATATTCTTGGAGAAAGAAACTCAGGAGGAGCATGGTTGTAGTAATTTGAAGTTGATGGTGTAATATCTTCCTCAAGAATCTTATCTCTACCTTCTTTTGAAGAATTGGTCTGATTCTGAAGCTCTTTCATCCACAATGCTCTTGCTTCCATCACCTGAAAAAGCAAAAGGGTTTTGCTGAATAACAACAACAACAATAATTTTGACTCAAGAAGAGATTGAGGTTTTTTTACCTGTGGAGAAGACAAAAGATGAGCATCGTGTTTATTGAGCCTCGAAAGAAGAAGAACAAAATAGACTTTCCAGAAGTAACCAACACTCATATGACATGGACAAAGCTCTATTCTCAATGCAGCTAACCTCGGAGCAAGACGCTCAATAGCTAAGGCATGACCTCTTTGAGCATCAGTCATTTCCAAATCTACAATAGATAAAAGTTGAAATAATCAAACCTTTGATATGCCTATAAGTCAAATCAATGAAGACTAAAAGCCAACAAATTTGACTTGTGAAACTCCAACAATCATTGTTATTCAATCCGAAATTGACTCAATGTATACGTTACCATCAAGATCTTCGTCAGGATCAAGAGGAAAATCCAACCAAGTTTCTGGATGCATTGCTATGTTCCTCGCAAATGCGAGCACTTCGTCGGTAAGAGCAACCGCAGCAATCTCTTCTTCTTCTTCTTCTTCTTCTTCTTCTTCTTCATCTGTTTCCTCTTCTTCTTCTTCCTCCTCAGGATCATTACACACATTTTCTACCGCTTTTTCTTCCAAATCCCAGCTCCTAAACCTAATTCCAGTCTCCGGCGTATCACTTCCAACACACGATTCGTCCCGATCTGAAGACCGAGATTGATAAACTCTAAGATCCGAAGACCGCGATTGATTCGATTCAAAATCTGAAGACCGAGATTGGTTAAATCTAGGATGGTTTGATCGATCGGAGGAAGAAGATCCATCTGGTAACGGAGCGAGAAAGTTAGCCACACCACGAAATTGACGCGTGAGGGTATGACCAAGTTCCGTCAAATCATCTTTAACACCACGCGCTTGAGCCTCCTCTTCCGGTGACAAACGAACGGCGTTTCTCTCGTAATCGTGTCTTTCCGTTGATGATCTCGGGGTCTTCTCGCTGTTGTTGTCTTCGTCGTCGTCGGCGGCGGCGTCATCGTCTCCGATTCCATCGTATAAGCTTTCCAAAAAATTCGAAAACATTATGATTGAATTCTTTTTTTTTTTTTTTTTCCTTTTCTCATTAATCTATTGATCCATTAGGTTGACTCAAAGCTAAAACTATAGTACAATTATTTTATTTTTGCCCAACAAACCCAATCCAAATTAAATACTATTATATACTTGTAATTTAGTTTAATTTCCATAATTTGGAACCGTTTTTTCTTTTTGGTGGCCAACTGTTATTGGATTATAACACCGGTAAAAATAAATTTTATATTTAGAAATGTAATTGGTTGATATTTCATTACATAAAAAGAAGAATATCAATCGAAATAGATGTCATAAAAACACCATTGTTATTGAATAAGAACGTTTTGGAAAAGCTACAATCGAATACATTAATTAGAATATTTATCAACGGTTTTTAAATCTGCTTTGGACATTGGTCGAAACAAAGCTCCTTAGCGTTGGGAAATTCTTTCTCTTTCCAACAACGATCTTTTTTATGTTTAATTTGCAAGCAGCACCAACAATCACTTTTCAGTGAGAAACCACTGCAAGTCTCATGGATACACGGTGGTATATAGATTTTGCTCGATCCCCCTATCTCTTTCACCTCCATCTTGCCACCTACACATTGATTTGAACATACACGAACCAAATTTAATAGTGGAAAGAAAAAGAAAAAGAAATAGGCAATTGATACGAGAACAACCAAATTATACGTACATTCATGCAGAGCAAAGAGGGAGAGCATGATTATGCAGATTAAAGTTGTATGTGATGATACCATGGTTTAAACAACTGTGTTGTGAGTTTTATTGTCTTCTCGAGTTGTTGTATGATAATGTAAAACTTTTGATATATAAAGAAGTAGAGAAAATTGAATTAGGAACAACTTAATTTTCTTTTAAGGAAATAACAAGATAATTCTTTAACTTCAGGATTTTTATCCATTTTCAAATATTTTGGTCAATTTTTCCAACGTCTCGGTTAAGTAATTCATAATTATTATTGAAACTATTTTTGTTAATGTATTATATTTTTATTTCGAGTGTGCTGATTTATTATTGAATGATTAAACTATTATTTATCGAAATACATATCATTAAAAAAAAAAACACATTGGTATTGAATAAAAAAAAGCTTTGGAAAAGCCTGAAATCGCAACATACTTTTTTAAATTCTTTTTTTTGGACAAATCAAATAAGCAACATACAATATTCGATTTATCAAACGTTTTTAAATCTGCTTTGAACATTGCTCGAAGCAAAGCTCCTTAGCGTTGGGATATTCTTTCTCTTTCCAACAACGATCTCTTTTATGTTTAACTTGGAAGCAGCACCAACAATTTTTTTCCCCTGAGAAAGCGGTGCAAGTCTCGTGGATACACGGTGGTAAATAGATCTTGCTCGATCTCCTTATCTCTTTCACCTCCATCTTCCCACCTACACATTGATTTGAACACACACAAACCAAATTGTGTGTAAACAAACCAAATTATGTGTGTAGAATAAACATGACTCGAGACATAATCAAGAAGTTGTGGTCGTAAACAAGAAATGGATCGTGATAGTTTTGAGGTTTCTTTGCTCTTGTATATATGAGAAAAAACAAATTATATATACGTACATGCATGCAGAGCAAAGAGGAAGAGCATGATTATGCAGATTAATGACTTCATGGTTTGGGTTTCTCAAACAACTGTCTTGTGAGGTTTGCTGTCTTCTCGAGTTGTTCTGATATGTAAATACAAAACATTTTATAAATAAAGAAGTAGAGAAAATTTAATTAGGAAACACCTTAATTTTCTTTAAGAAAAAAACCAGATAAACCTTGAATTTCAAGATTTTTTTTTCTGGTTGAATTTTCCAATATCTTGGTCAATTTTCCAACGTTCTCTGTTAAGTAATTCATAATTATTATTGAAACTATTTTTTGTTAATATATTAAATTTTATTTTGAGTGTGTTTAGTAATTATTGAATGATCCAACACTTATTTATCATGGTCAAACCCAAAATAAGGTATAAATTTATAGAGTTTTCAAAAAATATTGTAGAATCTAATCACCTTCTAAACTCGTCTAGATAATTTACTATAGAGAATACATATTGGAATACAAAATTCTAGATATTGTAATAGAAGTATCTCGTTATTAAAAATTTATAATAAATTCTTGTATGCAAAAGGGAAATCAAAGATCTTTCGGCTAATTGCTTTATTGGACTAAAATAAAGCAACGTTAATTAAAACACCTTTGAAATTTATTAAAATCCCACCTAATCTAAAAAAACCACGAATCAAATTAACATTCTTACTCCAATACATCCACTCTTGTACATGTTTTCATACAAAGCTCTTTGGCGTCCGGATAATCTTTTTCTTCCCAACACCAATCTTTTTTAGTTCCAGCTGCGAGACAACACCAACAATCATTTTTAAATGGCAGGACGCAATTGTCGTGGAAACACAATGGTACATAGATTTTGCTCGATCTCCCTATCGTGCTACCTGCACATCGATTTCAAACACATAAACCAAATTCTTACTATAGAAAAAAAAAACAAAGAGACGTTTGATATATGTGTCTTATAGACGTGAGAAACAATTATACTTACACTCATGCATGGAGAAGAAAGAGAGCATGACTATGCAGATTATAGCTATATGTGATGATTTCATGTTTTGGCTGTCTCAAAAGGACCGTGTTATGATTTATTCTTGTTTTGTAGAATTGTCCTAGTTTGCAATACAAAACTTACTCAATATATACTATATATGTTGAAAAAGAGAAATTTTAATTAGGAAAGACATAAATTCGAGAGAATATAATTTCAAAATTCTGTTGATTACCTAATATCTTATTGCGATTCATATCCGGATATATTATTTTTTTGACCATAATCTCTAAATTCGAAATTGGAAGTTCTCGAATTTAGGGATTGCAATTTCTAAAATTTATTCTCTAAAATCAAAACAGGAAAGTTCTTGAATTTAATTTCCAAAACCATAGTGACTTCAAAAATTATGGTCTCATTCTTCCCTTCCCTATTCACGATCCTTGCATGCAGCTTAACTAATCACCCATGTGTCGAAAATCTTTAACCATTTTTATCAAAAATGAAAAGGAAATGTAATATAGCAAAATCTAAGAAAATCGTCGTATAAGATATCAGTAATTGTGGACGACAAATTGAAGATCTTCTTGGCTAATTGCTTTTTTGGATGAAAATAAAGCAAATTAATACATTTGTCCTCAGTTGAACAAAACAAAGAAAAAAGAAATACATTGTCCTTCACCAATGTTGGTTGGTTCTTTTAATCTCAATTGTTTAAACAGTATATATATTGAATGAACAAAAGAGTAGAAATGGAAAATAAGATGGATATCTAGTCAAATATATATATATTGACTGTATGATGAATCTCAGCTAATCCAGTTACCTCCAATTTCGTCGATAATTCTCTCTACTTTCTGCAGCATATCTGGATAATGAGAAAACCACTCGTTAGAAAGACTTATTAAGTGAAGTTTGAAGCTTGAATATGAACTTGGAATCTATATGGGTCAATATTGTTTGTGTGTGTGTATTGGAGAGAATGTTCACCTTGAAATGAAGAATCTTCCATGTACCTCTGCCAAAACAAGAAGTTCGAATCCCAAATCATAAGATATCATTAGCATTGTGTTGATGTGTTGAAAGAGAAAAGAAATTCGGGTTGTTTATACTGTACCAGTATCTGTGACTTTAGATCAGGATCCTGCTTCACAGGTGTTTGGCCTGCATCTATAGTTGGTTTCATAGGGGAGGAAATGTGTTAAAAATGTGTGAAAGAGATGATATGTCTTAAACTTCGAACAAGCAGGATCAATGAAAAATGTACCTAGAGTGGAGTCAGGGAAGCAACCAGAGAGTAAGGAGGTGAAACTCGGAGGGAGATTCGGGATTTGATTTAGCGTGGATTGTGATGGATATAAGGCTCTTCCAGTTTCATACTCAGGTCTTGGTTGCATTTCAGGAACATAACTATCAAAAAATCTAACCATATTTGGCTCTTCTTCAATGGCTCTGCAGAGAAGAATATATATTACCATATCTAAATTGTTGGCTCAAGCACTTGTATTAATCCACAAGTCTGTAAATATGATCTAACCTGGGGAAAATCTCATTTGAAGGGTTGTAATCTGTCTGGAAAGAAACCTCGGACCTAATTTCACTTTTCTGGTTCTGAACTTCATACTCAATTCTTGGTTGCATTTCAGGAACATAACTATTAATAGGTTTAACCATATTTGGCTCTTTCTGAATTGCTCTGCAAAGAGGAGTTTACAATATCGAAACTGTTGGCTAAAGAACTTGTACAAATTCACAACACTGTAGTGTGATCTAACCTGGGGATGATCGCATTTGAAGGGTTGTAATCTGACTGGAAAGAAACCACCTCACACCTAGTTTCATTTCTCTGGTTCCGAGCTTCCTCTAAACCCTTAAACTTCTCCTGCAAACAGAACAGAAAAGGAATCATTGGCTCAGATTCGAAGAAAATAGCTTAGAAAACTAGAGTCAAGGTTAGTGAAACATCATCTCCATCTGATCAACATGTAAGGAAGCTCTTTGCAGTAATAGCTAACCTTAAGAGCTTCCACAAACTCCAACGCTGCATCACATGTGGAAAACCTTAAAGCAAATTTCTGGATCTGGAGAACAACAACAAGCACAATATAACCACATGATTTCAATTCACAAATCTAAAGTATCTACTAACTCATGAACAGTCATCAAATTCTCCTTAGGTTACACTAGTAAGCTTATTTATCTCTTAAATTCCAGAAAATCCAAAAGAGATTGAAAGTGTTAAGAGCTTGCCTTGTTTGCAGAATCCGTATAGGTAACGAAAATCGCTCGACTACCACGAGACGGAAACCCAGAAACGCATGACATCTGCGGCCATGTGAAATTCAGCTTTGAAATGTAGTGTTCTTCCTGTAGAAATCGAATCATTCGAAGAACAATTAAACACCATGAAGCTAAATCAAACATGGATAGATCTCGATTTCAAAATTTGATTAAGCTTCAACAATCGCGAAACACCAACCTAAACATCCGATTTATAGTATAGAGAGCAAAAATCAACTCACAAGGACTTTCTCGCCGAGTTTGACGGAGAGAATCACATCGGATCTGTTGACTTCGTCGAACATCTGGAGAGACAGCGTCGAAGAAGACGCCGAGAACCAGGTTCCGTGGGGCGAATGATACAGCTCTCTCCTTCCGAGAGGTCTCAGACCTGGACACTGAGAAGGAGTAGATGGATAGTGAACAAACCGAGCAAAACCGATCATCCACCGGTAAATTTCTGAAGAAGCCTCCGTGTTTCCACGGCGGGTTGATGCTGTTAGAGATCCCGCCATCTTCCTTGAGATATTTTTCTCCGTTTCGAAATGTTTTTTTCTTCTTTTATTTTTTCTTTCTGTTACGAATGAAAAATTTGAAAAGCGTGATGTACGGAATTTATATTTTACATAGTCGCTCTCTGCCCAGATTAAAATAAGAAGAAGTCGTTTTGGGCCCAAAGATTCAAGCCCAATATCAATGTCTTCATCTGTTCAAGCTTCAAGGTACTATTAAAATTTGGTTCAAATTTGAATTGGTAAATAGTGGTTCTAATTGATTTCTTTAATCAAATTATTTTGATTAATTTTTAATTATTTGTGAATGTTCAAACTATCTTTTATTGGATCAAAAATAAAACTATTCAACTATCATTTATTGAGTCAAAAATAAAATTAGTTTTCTCAGAAAACTTTTCTGATAATTAAAAAGAATACATGTTAAAATATTAGTAATATACAAAGATTTCAATAAAGCGTGGCTAGAAAAGATTGTATGCTTTCCACACCCACTAAATATTCCTAAGAATCATGTCAATCAAATTTTACAAAGCAAATTCAAAGTTACACCAAAAACTAACTGGCTCATGTGCAAGTTGAGAATATATAGAAAAATTGTTTATCCGAAAGCCAACGAAAAGGAGATCATCCGGTACTAAAGACTCAATTTTGAAAATGTGGTAAGTAGTCAATTACTTTCTCCCAACCAATTTATCAAGGAGCTATGATATTGTACAAATGAAGATATTAGGCAACCAAAGGTGGAACATCTCCACGTGTTCCGAGAATTAGCATCACAATTTGCGTAGGAGGGATATACTGAAGGTCAACCCCATCAATAGACTCATCAGCGCAAACACCGTTTTTCGATTCTTCAAGGTCAACAACAATAGGTTGGGGGATACCATCTCCCACAGTTTCATCAGCAATGGAGGCAACAACAGTTTTGGGATTGGTCTCAAGTTCTTCAGAGCCAATGACGACGCCACTACCAGCAGCACCGCCTTCAATCTCCTCGATTTTCACCGACGGTCGGCCGGAACTTGAGGAAGAAGATGAAGAAGAAGAAGACTACTCTGGGGATATTGTACAAATGGTGGTAGATTGGGATGATCTTGAATGCACAAAACCATCTCAATGCTCCTATTTATTGAAATAAATATTTTTAATTTATTGTTGATTTCATTAGTTAATTTCTTTAATTTCAGAAAGTTGAAATTTAAAAATATACCCAACATTGTCAAATTTGTTTAGTTAATTTATCTTTTCTTCTGTTCAAAGTATCGTTAATTCATATTTTTTATAAAATGTTTGATATATTTTGACCCAAAAAAAATGGCACATCATATTAAAATTACCATTTCGCTAATCAAAAATGTATGTTTGAAGTATTTCGACCAACAAATAAAATTAGCATAACTATTTTTATTTTATTTACGACTTTTAAAAACCCTGATTTTTTAACGGCTTGTCAGACGTAGAAGCAAACATAGCAGAAACGTCTATTTATTTTACTAAGCAAAATAGTAAATAAAGAGCACTAGCTAGTACAAGCAAGCATTATAAGACTGACTGCTTAGAGAAGTTTGAAAATTGAGAATAAGCAGCAGCATGATTTTATTTTATCAAGGTTTTAAATTTATAAGTTACATTGCTGGTTGCAATAGTCGCGACCAGTGTTGCCTGACCAACAGCATTGCGGCCTGATACCCCGTAAATGTTCGCAGCACCAACAATGAGGTACCAAAGCATGGCATGGGCCAGGGACACACGCTTCACTAGCCTTTTGAGAGCTGATCAGTCCTTCAATCTCTCTAACCTCCTTGCCCACACCTACATGATCCATGTGATTTCAAACACAAACCAAACTTTGAGAATGAAGCACAAAGCAAACGCCATAGATCAAAAAAAAAAAAAAAAAACGCCATAGATCTGTACTCAGCTAAAAGAGACATTCGAATATGTGTGTGTACATATATATATATATATTATAAGAAAAGTTTATACTTACACTCATGTAGAGAGAAGAGAGAAAGGATGACTATGCAGATTAGAGCTATATGTGATGATTTCATGGTTTTGGCTGCCTCAAAGAGATGTGTTTTAATTTTTGTTGTCTTATTGAGTTGTTGTAGTTTTTACACACAAAACTCAATCAAATATACAATATAAAGACTTAGAGAAAATTTTATTAGGCAAGATTTTAATATTCAAATATCTCGGTCAATATTCCAATACCTCTATTAAGTACATTCAGTTACTATTTTGAGTAATTAATTATTACTTTATTAGTGAATCTGTGAATGTTTATTTATATTGGATCAAAAAAAACAAGAATTTCAACTATCATTAATTGAGTCAAAAATAAAATTAGCTTTTCTGATAAATAAATAGAACACATGTTGAAATATTAATATGCAAAGATTTAGATAGAGCGTGATTGGAGAAGGCTGTATATTCTTTTCATAGCCACTAAATGCTCCTAAGAATCGTATCAATCAAACTTTACAAAGGAAATTCAAAGTTACACCAAATTGTAGTGTTGAGAACTTCTAAAGCTATGGTTTTTTTGGGCAGTGGATTTCTAAATTTTTGGGCTGCGAATTCCTAAAGCTGCGATAATTATTTAAGTTCATGATAATTCATAATCACTAGTTAATGCAAATTTTTATATTCTAATTAGAAAAATTTAGGACGAACTTAAAATGAAACTTTATTTTTCCAAAGGAATTTTCTGTCTATCAAGTACAAAAAGATGTGAAATGAAACATTTTTTTTTCTTTGACAGAAGAAACATTATTACATTATTGGATTTTCCTAAATAACATTAACAACAAACAACCTCTTCAATGGAAAATGCTTCGATCGAGGACTATACACCAAAGTTCATAAATCAGATTTGTTCAAACCCAAAAATTACTTGCGGCTGGATTTCTAATCGAGTCACAGAAGCTTAAACTTGAAGAGCAGAAGCTATGGAGCCAGCCAGGCTAAGAACTTCAAAAGGAGGTTTATTCATCACCTCTTTCACAGTCATTCCACACGAGTCTGTGATCCAGAAATAGCTCAGACCTTCCGCGGGATCACCTGCATCACGGAAACAATAGAAAACCAAGATTTTCAGTATGTCGCAAAGAAACGGACATGACTGTTTAGACTGATTCAAACCATTTGTATAATGGTGGTAGTAACCTTTGGTGTCAAGCTTGAAACGTTTCCATGAACTCTTGGGGAAGATCCCGTGTGTTACATATGCGCTTATTTTCGCTGCTCCATGTGCAGCTAAGACTTTCTGAAAGGAACAAGAATTGGTGGTTAGTTATGAAGAAGTGAGTACAGAGTTACACTTTTGAGAGTTGAATCTGAGTACAGAACCTGGCATTCGATTAGTGTGCCACCCGACTGAACCAAATCATCGACAATCACAACGTGCCTTCCTTCTGCGTCTCCCTCTTTGATACGCACTATTCGTTTGTCTCCCATTCTTACTTTGTTGCAAACAATCTGAAAGACAAGTAGGATTACTTGGTAAGTCAAAGGTTAATGTACAGATTTTCTGTTCAAGATTGGATGATGCTATGCTTATTTTGGAGTTAGATCTACTGTAAGCTTGAAGAACAAGCTCCTGAATCTAAACCCAGCTTGCTAAATCCTAAAACTCTGTAAGATGCTAAAAAGATGCGCAAAGGCGATATGGTCTAGGTATGAGAAAATATAATACCGTTGGATAATGTTGGAGTTGTTTGTGGAAACGCTTCCATGCTCCATCATCTGGGAATGCAATAGATATCTGAAGCAAATGACGAACAGTAACCAAAATGAATTGAATCTAGTTGATATCTACTCTACATGATAGAATTGATAGAAATGTGACAACCAGAGGGAAAGAACTTACGTTATCAGAATCAGGTAGACTCTGGAGTCTGCTCTTGAGCAATGGTATACCACTTTCAAAGCATGGAAGTATAGTATCTCCAAAGTAGAATCTTTCCTACAATCCAAACGAAGACAACGCAAAAGCTAGATAAGCCATAGATTCAAGAGAAGAAAAAGAGAGATGACCAGGGTTGTAGATAAAGACCTGCAAGGCATGTATATCGAAGGTCACTAAGCTAGTCGGTCCTCCTCTCGAAGTCGGTATATTTGAGAGTATCCTAGCGAGAGTGAAAGCAGTGGCCACATCTCCTTCGTCTTCCATTCTCTCAGAAGTTCCAGTAGGAAAGAATGGAAGAACAAGAGTAAATGAAGAAACAAAAAGCTTGGGAAGAGCATAAATAACCGAGAGCTGCTCGAAGATCACAGCGGGTGAACTAAATGAAGCCAGGAAAGCAACATGCTGCCCACGAATGCCTTGAGCATTTTGTATGAACAAATTAGGGAATCCATCATCAAATTTCCTAAAAACAAGAACAATGATTGTAATTACATTGTGATCAACAACCTAAACCTCTTCCAATCATTAGTTATACACATCAAACAAACCCAAAGTCTCTAATTTGAACACCAGAATTAGAGCATTGACCAAAAGCACAACGAAACTCATTTGAAAGTTCAAATTGTTAAGAAAAAGACATCAAATTCAAACCCACCAATCTAAAATCAATCAAGAGAATAATTTGAAAGCACTCTTCAATTTCACTGGGGATCATCACCAGCAAAAAAAACAAAAAAAAACAAAAAGAGAATGTCATAGAAAGTCAGCAAATTGATAGAGAGATTGATGGGTGTTTACTTCCAATTGATGCTTCGTAGCTCAATGCAATCAGATTTTGCGACGATTCTCTCGGCGAGATCTCTAGTCTCGTCGCTGTGGAAGAGACAGACGCGCTTGGAGGACTTCGGACCGGATTCCGACGCCGCCGCGGCCATGGTTATAGGAGACGACGAATTCTGATTAATTAGGCTGATCGGATCCCCATTAGATAAGAAATCTAGGCTCCGATGACCCGACGGGTTCTCTAAGCTTCTGACTCCGCACTTCACGCAGCGATTACTGACTGTAGCAGTTTTGAAATTAAGAAACGTTGGAGACGAAGAAGAAGATAGCGAGGAAGAACTAGAGCTAAATTGAGGCAGGGAGAGTGAAGCCGCGGTAGTTGCATTCGCCGGAGAAATAGCCGCCATTTCCGAAGACGAAGGGTCAAATTTACGATTTTTCCGGCGGATATCTTCAAATTAAAAATACCGAATTTTTTCGTTTATAAAACAAATTTGACATTTGGCGGAGACCTGGCAATGACGTAAATGCCCCTATCTGTCAAATGAGACACGTTATGAAGATGTTGGATAGTTTCGGTTTTGATTGGGCTAAGTAGCTAACCATCGGTTCAAGTTTAATATTGTCCGAATACCGAAACGAATAGCAGTCGGTTCAGGATTGCTCCAACCTGTACGGCTGTACGTTTCAATATAAACAGAAATCAAACGGTTTGTCTCGGTTTAGCTAGAATGTCGATAGGGAGATTCGGTTAGTTTCCGGTTTAAGAGGACAAACATGGGAAGGGTAGACGCGCCTACTATGTGGAAAGATGATGTCTTAGTTGAAATTTGAAACTAAAGAACATTAGAATGTAGAAGTTTCAAGCTAACAATACTATTCTTAACTTAAGTAATTCGCACTGGTAAACAAAAGGCTGCTACAATAAGTAGACTGGATAAGTAGTAATATCCATTACTTTGCCCAAAAAAATAATATATATATATATATATATATATATATATATATATATATATATCCATTAATATTAGATCCAACCCATAAGTTTACATAACGTAGAAATATTTAAATAAAGTAATTTGTATGAATTTCTAAAAAATACTTAGTTACAAAAATGACATCACACTCAGTGGCGGACCTATAAATTATTTTTACCGGGGTCAAAAAAATTAATAAAATTATATCATATAATTTATAGCATAATAATAAAAATTATATTCCAAAAGATGAGGTATTTTTGTTATAATAAGATGAAAAGAGGTAAAATATATAGAAGAGACGTTGAAAAGTTGTGAAAAAGGAAAAAAAATATGGCCAAATTTGTCAAAATGGGTGATCGAACTTGGGGAAAGGGGTGTCAATGAGAAAGGTCCAGATATATTTATTTTACATGTGTCAAGTGACACACCTACTTACTCAATGGGTCCGCCACTAATCACACCATAATTTATTTGTGCGCACATAGATAATGGTTTAGGGAAACTGAAATTCAGAAGACTAGTAAAAAAAAGTCATTCTAGCTAGATGAGAGGCAAACACGAGTTTAATGTTGAAGAAATCACAATATGTCGTTGGCGGCTAACACCGACCAAAAACCTCTATAAATGTTTTCACAGGGTGCAAAAACTTGAGCATCGACGATGGAATCTCTCAAAAATATGTTGACCGGTGATATATAATTAGAAAGTCAAAAATAGGACCGCCAATTGAAGTGGGAATCTCAACGACTCTTTCCATCTCGTTACTCCATTTATTACTTGCATCTAAAGGGTATTTTTATCTCTTTATTTAATACTCCTATATAGGAAGCTAATACAAATACTAGTCCTATTAAATACTAGTATATATGTATAAACACCCTCTGAAGTCTGAATAGAAAAACGAGAGTAAAACTCATATATAGGAAACTATATATTTAGGTCACGCGTTTCCTCGGGTTCCCTATTCTCATTTAAAACTCATTTTTGTATTTTCTCATTTTGTTCGTCTGTTCACGGGCTCTCGCTTTTCATATCAACTATTATCTCAATTCTCAATCAGATTAGATATACTCCATTTCGTTTTCAATGACTATGTCGTTTTACAATTGTCCACATGAGAACAATACATATATCAACTTTTAATATTATATATAATATCATTTTTAGATGCATAAAACATCACATAGATGAGTTTTTTTTAGAGGATTTGGCCACATAATTTATCGAGATACGTACATTTCACCGGTTAAGATAATGTTTTCCACGTTTGTTAATGACCCTTGTACTCCATAAGTATAATAACATAGTTGAAACTTGAAAGCAACACTGAGAGAGAACATAGATAAAGAGTTTTTGTTTTTCATTTTTGTTAATGAATCCATGCATTATATATTAAAAAGTTTCCTATGATCTCTATATAATCCTTGATTTATCTTTTCAAACATGTCAAAATTAGGTTTTAACCTCAATCCTATAAGAATCGCGCGAGTTCATGTATTTTGTAATTTTGTTTTGAACGCACTATTCACTTTGATCATACTCATAGTTTATAAGATTCAAAACGATTTGGTTTCGCTATAAGATAAATAAAAAAAAAAAAAACCTAAAATGCAATAAAATTTACCTGCAGGCTGCATGATCTAATAAAATAAAAATGACCTAGAAATTTAAATTTTGAAATTTAGGAATCGTTGCTACTTCTCTCATGCTCCTTTATTCCCTCCACTCTGCCCCTCGGCCTCAGGCATCAGTAACGAATAAATATGAGTATTTTTTAGAAACGTACAACTCTATCTCACTGTCTTTCTATAATTTAATTTGTTGGGTCCAATAATTAAATTTGAAATTTTTAAAAAACCTTATACTAATTAATAATTTATTCAGAAAGAAGAAGAGGAAAGAAAATTACCAAACTGAATCGACACCGATCTAACGTAATTAATACTCTGTTGACTATAAAACCGTCCTCTGGGAAAAAATGTCCCCTTCACTTCACATTCGCTCGCCACCAAAGTTAGCCAAAAAGAAAGAAAAAAAAAAAGTAAATTTCTTTCAAGAGAGAGAGAGAGAGAACAAAACGTCTCATTCGTTCCCTACACATCAATCCCAAAAACCTAAAGCAAAACCTTTGATTCTTTTATCTCCATCACCAACAACAAAACTCCCCTGTTTTTTCACTTCCTCTGTTTTCTCTTCGTTAACATTCGAGATAAGTCATGGGATATTCCGGCAAACCTCACCACCAACTCGACGGCGAGATACGAGAAACCACCGACGGTAAGAAATGGGTCATCGCCGGAATTCCCTCGCGTTCGCCGCTCAAGCAGATTAACCTTTCTTCCGGCGTCACAGTCACCGAAACAGAGGAGCAAGATCAGTGTCCGACGACCCCTACGGCGGTTTCCGTCAGAATTCCAAGGGTCCCGCCCTGTCCAGCGGCACCAAAGAAGCGAAAACCGTCGTTGAAGTGCAGTTACGGTGCCGGCGCTAGAGATTTCTTCTCTCCGCCGGACCTCGAAACCGTTTTCATTCCGAGAGCTAGTTATTAACTCTGTTTTCACAACTCTAAGAATTTAGAAACTAAATTTACTCTATTTGTTTCTCAGTTGTATTAATGTTAGGACACTAATCAAGGTTAGTGAATAGGAAGTGTTGTTTCATGTTTATGTACATTTTTATCTCCCTTTGTTTTCAGTATAATTGATGTATATGATTTCACTTTTAATTAAGCTTTTATTCATTTACAATTTTATGAGTTTCTCTTGATCTGATTATTTTATGCATTCATACTCCGTGATTATTGTTGATCATAATTCTTTCTCAAAATAGCTTTTTTTTTTCCTTGGAAGTTTGAGATGATATTAACAACCCTAACAATGTGGTTCACAGATCAAAAGTTTTACACTTTATCTACCTTTTTTGTTTACTTTTATCTCCATCTATATTTTTTTTAACTCTACAAAAGAAAAGGAATCTTTCTTCTTTGCCTAAAAACTAAAAGAATCTTTTTTGTTCTTTTCTAAATGGTTGGAAAATTGAATGAATGCAAAAACCTCTCTCCCTTTATATCCCAAGAACAAGAGTGTCTCCTTCTCGTTAGTCTTAACAATCTCTTCCCTTTATCGCAAATTTTCTCCACCACTTAGAATGTTCAAAATATGTAGTATGTACATTTACATGCATGCATTTATTGTTTAGATCATTCTCATAATTGGACATGGTTAGTGAATTTCTTCACTTATATCATGCAATGAAATGTCATGTTATATATATATCCACATACCAAAGAAAATTTATTTTATTATACATTAAAAATTCAACCTGGTGGCATCTAATTTGTTTCCCCCCAAATTTTTTTTTGGTTTTTCATTCAAAAAAATATAAGAACGAATAAGATAAGTTTATTACATGTATTATAACTAAGTCTAAGAATTTTCAAATTGTATTTCTCATTTGACTTTGATCTCATTGAATTTTTTTTGGATATCAAATAAATTTGATTAGTTTTTCTTAGAACTACCCTTTTCCAAAATAATTATAAAAAATTATATAAAATAATTTAAACTGATTGATATGTTACATATTCTCGTTTGTCTACCAAGTATTTTAATTTAACTGTGTGCACAAAAATATATGCAACTACGTCGGTAATATTTTATATTTCTGTTCGGTAAAGGATTTTCTTGTACTATTTTAATATACATCAAACATCATTCGAAGATCAGTGACAGCCACCGACGCAAGTGGAATCCGAGAAAAGAATACGCCAAAAAGTTTTAGTTCTCATATTGCATCAAAATTTCCAAGATTTTGGAAGTTTTCGAGTTTATTATGCTAATATTTGTTCGGCTAAATCACTATTATTGTACAATACTATAATATTTTATTTAGTTGTATAATCAATTTCTTGTGGTTTTTCTTAATTTATATTGTGTCTTATAATTATTAACTACAGTGGCAGAGGTAGTGCTCTACCATAGGGGTCAATTGACACCCATGGATTTTTAAAACTTAGTTTAATTTGATTAATCATTTATAAATTGACCCTATTACAAAATAAAATTTGACCCCCATCAAATTTTAATTTAAGAAACAACCACTAAATACTATATATTAAAAAGAATTATTATATTTAAACTCATTACAAATAAATTTTTAAAAATAAAAAATAAAAATATTTCCATTAAAATGAGTTCAATCTAATTATCACTATTCTTTGGCTACTTTATGATTTTTTTTCTTTTTCCTCTATTTCAATTAACATTATCCATTGAAAAACATATTGGAAATAAAATTTTAAGTTAAAATTTATATACTTTTTAGTTTGACGTGAACCATTTTAATGATTTTGCTCATATATTACAAAGACAAATATGCCTCATTTTTTATTTATCGACTTTTAAAACTATTTTTGATGTTTTAATATGCAATTGCAACAGTTGAAACAAATTTCTCTACTATGAATATTTTGAAAACGACTTCACGTAATCGTATCGTTGATACAATTTCAAATAACTTTCTAGTTTTTGAATGAAAAATACGTAACATTGTGACAAACAAAAAAATATTAAAGCATTTACAAGATAGAAATAATTCTATGATAGATGTCTAAAAATTATATTTTGATTATATTTTACTTTTTTAATAAATTATATATTTTCTATATTAAAAAAAAATTGACCCCTATAAACAATTTTTCTGGCTCCGCCACTGATTAACTATATTATTTGTTTCTCTTAGTAACGTGATTGTACACAACGCTTTACTTTGAATATGACCAATAACTATACGTCTATACCCATTTGTCGGGTTATACACTTAGACCACATTATAGTAGTTATATAACATCAACATAACGGGGATCAAAAGATCCTATTTACGGAATCTTTTTATAGTATATGCTTACGAAAATTAAGAAAATTATGTCGCAAACTATTTTGTTAAAAAAAAGGTTTTTCTCGCGAGTGGATAAGGATGTACATAGAAAGCAAATGCTATATGTGAGGCTTTAGTTGAAGAAACTCAGATTTATTAGTTTTGAAGATCACTCGTACGCAAAGCTGATTGGAATAAGACATTTTAAATATAGGTTCCAAATGATTTACTAATCCCATCCAACTCATCAAATATGATAAGTGAGAATCTTTAATATTTATCAAAACGACGTCAAAAGAAGAAAAAGTCCCACCAAAACGACGTCAAAAAAAGAGTATCAACTTTAAAAAAGATATGAATTTTCAAAAAAAGGAAAAAATGTAAAGTGATTGGGCTTAGTGCTTGTTAAGTACTAGTACTAGTTTTGTGTATTACCTTGTTGACTGAACAAATCCTATATCATCATTACCATCAATTGGTTGAAGGTTGCGTCACCTTCATTTTTCTAACCTTCGTTTTACATTTAATAAGAAAAAAATATTTGAAAAATCACATTGAAAAGTTGCTATTTATTGGACTCCACATGGTTAGCGATCCCATAATTTGGTGATCCCGGTGCGTTGTACTTGGAAGAGCCGATACTCCTTAATTTAGTCTTATCCTTCAAATTTTGAATGTGTTAAGTTAGTTAATTGCGCATTTTAAATATAATGCAAGAAATAAATAAAAATGAATAGTATCGTTGGATCCTGGAAATAAATTGATTAGTATATTAATGGGTAAGTGAAGATATTCAAATGCATCGACACTTGGTATGTGTTGCTAGACACGTGGTTTACCCAACTTCGATACTAGTTCAGTTTGGATAATGCAAAGTTATCCGTGAAAGAATCAGTAATAGCGACGTGAAAGAAAAGAAAAAAAATCTGACCAAAATGTAGAAGAATTATATTTACAAAATTTCTATTTGTCTTGATTTTTAAGGTAAATTACCTTTTCTTCTCCAACGTGCAACAAAAACATTTTTTACATATTTTTTTCTTACTTTTCTTTAGCTTCATTGTTTTAGTTCTTAGTTTAGATTGTAGACTTTATAGTTTACATTATATAACATTTTCCGAGAAAAGAACAACAGATACGCAATGGCACATTATAGATCAAAGAATAGGTAATAAAAAGCTTCCCAAAATTGAAGCGTTGTGTATTCAGCTATAATGCGAGCAACTGTGTTTTTGAAATCTATAAAGTAATAACTAGAGAGGTCAAAGCCAAAATAATAAGTCCAGCGAAATTTTAAGAGTATTAAACGCAAGTCCTTTCACAAATTTTGTTTGTTAACGAAAACGAAATTGTTGAAACTATCGTTTCAGAAGTCATTTCACAGACGTTTTATTAAAAGGATCGATGTATATACACATAAGCCCTTTAACAAAAAGAGAAACTATCGTATACATTCATTTGTAATTTAAAAGATATAAAACTATACATCATCAAATTTTCTTTTTAATATCATATGTTTTCCTTTCTCTTAGCTTCATGCAGTTTTCGAATTTGAAAAACAATAATATAAGACACTGAAAAAGCTATTGGAAAATAAATAAATAACCAGAGTGCATGACAAAAAAAAATGTGGAAACATACAAGGAACGCACAATTGCATAAAGAAACAACAACGTAGCGTGCACTTGTGGAGTGAGCTTTTGTTTCTTGCAGTATAAATTTCTAAAATGTTCCTTTCTTCTGTTAAATAAGTTTCTAAAACAAATTTATTCTTCTTATTTTTTTCTTTTCTTATCGTTAAGAGTATATGTTGTTGATTTAAATGTTTCCCACTACTTTGACCAAAAAATAAGTTTCCTTTACAGAAGCAAATGCTTTTGCAGGACTTGGACAGAAACATGCGGAACCAAACCATTTTGCTACAACCAGCTTTGAGTATAATCCATTTACTTAAAAGTTTAAAACTCATTTTGACACTTACATTTACAAATACTCGGAGACTTATTTTTCAGATACTACCAGAAAGGGCAAAACTGTCATTCCAAACAAACATGAGAATCTAGCACCTTTATTTCCCACGAATGCGATGATGCAGCACCAGACTTTTAAGGGCTAAACTGAATACTTTTTTTGAAGAAAGGAAGAAAGTGGGAAACTTTGAGTTGAACTATGACTAGGACCAATCATAAAATGTGATATTATTATCTAATAGTTATCTCCTCCACCTTCAGAAATAAAATCAGCCTCCATCTGTCTATCTACACATCTCTCTCTATATATATTTAGATTCTTTGGACCGAGATTTCACCCACAAATCTCTATATTCAAAACCTTAATTCATAAAAAAAATCTTCAAGGGAATGAAACCGGCAGAAAAAATGCAGACAAAGCCATTCAAGGAGGAGGCAGAGGAACCTCAGTTTGATAAATCTCCCTAACAGTTTGTTTAGCTTGGCCATGAGAAGCGAGGAGACAAAAGAAACTTGGGTTTATGGGAATGGCAAAACGGCAAGTCATATATCGGCATCAGGCTCGTGTTTTCCGAGTTCTATTGATTTGATTTTGGTGGTATAATGGATCTTGAAATGTTTAAGATTCAGTTGCTACTGAAACAATCATCTTTAAATACTATGTACGATGGGACGAAAATTATATTGTAGATCGTCTTCATGTGTATTTTTTTTCTTTCTGGTTTTTGGGAATAAAATTGGACTATATATGTTTGCTCATGTGGATCTTTATTAAGTTTCATGTATCTATGATTCTTAATTTATAAGAAGAAATTCTAGAAGCTTGTTTTTTTTTTTTTAACATAAATTCTAGAAGCTTGTTTTTCTTTTCCTCGTACATCTGAAAATCTTGCCATCCCTAAACTGTTTGTTCCATGGAAATTTTAAATTTTAATGCCAATTTACCATCACCCAATCATTTATATGGCATAGGAGCTTCAATCGGGAGATCAAGAATGCATCTACAGAGCATATTTAAATGCAAGAACTTATTATTTTCCATGTGGTTCTAAAAAGGGATGTGAAAGTGAAGCCCAAATATTTAAGTTGACAATGTACCGGACTTACTACAACCAATTAAAGTCAAATATTATTATCTGTGCCATTGAAAAAATTGACGGTACAAAAAAATATAAGTATTGCTATTAGTCGGACTAAACTATGCGGTTAATTAATCCTATATGGAGATAGCGACCCATGCATGCGTTATAGAGAATACACGATATTTTAAAAGTATATATATAAACGTATTTTTACTGATCAATTATTCATGAATAATATATATGTGTGTGTATTTGGATTGTTATTTTCTTTTGAGTCTTCTCTAATTGAAATTTGTGTCCGTGAAGTGGAATATCTTTTTACCAAAAGAAAATTGAATATCTAAATTTTCTATCTAAACTTTTTGTTACAATTATCTGTCATTATCATTTTTTCCATTATCTTAAGATTTTTTTCTATAAAATTTGATATATACTACAGTTTAAAGATGGTGCTGTCAAGAACATAGAGGAAGTCAGGAAGATATATGGTCAGATTAATCAATAATAGAAATTCCAGTTAATTATTACCTTGTCAATAAAAAGCAGCCAGCTTATAAGTTAAAATATTACGTAATAACAAAAATAGTATAGTATATACATATTTTCATAATTTCTATTTCTTACTTCTTTTTAATTGAATTACTCTACACTTCTTTATTACCTTTTCGATGAAAATATGATTTTTTTACTAATTTGTTTATTTGATAAAAAATTAGTTCCTGGCATAAATAATTTTAGAGGAAAAGTGTTTACATGTTTTTCTCATGAATTTTCTTTAGTAATATAAATAATTCAGTATTAAAAAAAAAATCCATGTCGAGACATAAATCTTTATTAAGATTTCAAACTAAAAACCTAATACCCTCTTCCAAAAGTTTCCTTGAACTTCCTCTTCTATATATATGCCTTCTCATTTCTAGTCTCCCTCGAACCAACTCTTTTTACTAACGCCCTTTCTCTTATTTCATTTTCTCTCCATCCAAAAGTGAAAATGCAACCGTCGACAGGCGATCCAGCAATAGTGGACATGGCAGTGGCGGAGAAGGAGAAGAAGCGGCCAAGTGTATCATTTCTTAAGCTCTTCTCCTTTGCTGATTTTTACGATTGCGTTCTGATGGCTCTTGGATCCATTGGTGCTTGCATTCACGGAGCCTCCGTTCCAGTTTTCTTCATCTTCTTTGGCAAACTTATCAACATCATCGGTCTTGCTTACCTCTTCCCACAAGAAGCTTCTCACAAAGTCGCCAAGGTTCATAACTTTTTGTATATATATTTCATTGTATTTTATAAAATTTTAAATTCTTAGGGTAATTAGTTCATAATATATCCTCCATCTGAGTTAATATGAAATTGGAAAATTCTATCCTCTACTGTTCTTTAATATGCCTAAGAAATGCAGTGAGTAGTAAGATTTTGTACATGGCCACTAGAATGTACATGACGAGTCACATATTCTAAAGAGATTTGATAAATAAAGTTTTTCTAAAACAAAAGTGATCATATTCTTGAGTTCAATGTATATGAGATATAAGAAATAAATTCTCAAAAGCGAAGTCAAAATGCTAATTTATTCATATTCTGAAATAAATCCTTACTAATGTGTACTCCAAATAAAATTGAAATGAAATGCTAATAAATAATAAAGTTTTATTCTCTGCCATTTACCATTTTTTTTTTTTTATCATGTGCTTAATTTTTATTTCTTTGGTTGTGCAGTACTCGTTGGATTTTGTATATTTGAGTGTGGTGATACTCTTCTCATCATGGTTAGGTAAATAACATAGCAAAGAATATATATAAATTCAATCAATTATATTTTTTTTTGAAGATATGATAAAATAAAAAATATATATGAATGGAAACAGAGGTTGCATGTTGGATGCATACGGGAGAGAGACAAGCAGCGAAGATGAGAAAAGCTTATTTGCGGTCAATGTTAAGTCAAGACATAAGCTTATTCGACACCGAAACTTCGACCGGAGAAGTCATCTCCGCCATCACCTCCGACATCCTTGTCGTCCAAGACGCTATCTCCGAGAAGGTACGCTATACCAAAATCAAACCGGTATTGGTCTTAGTTAATCGATTCGGCTATAATTCGATAGATGCAATGAATCATAGTATATATTTTTTTGCTATTAAGAAACAATGAATATGATATTATGTACAAAGTACAATGAATGCAGGTAATTCAACTAATACGAATTACATATCAAAATTTATTTTTTCTTAAATTTTGGATCCTTTGGATTTTTAATCTTCCAAGATATGGTATCAGTACTATAAAAATAAAAGATTTTAGCGTGCATAATTTAAATCCGGTTGATCGGTATTTTTTTGTTGTAGGTAGGGAATTTCTTGCACTTCATAAGCCGGTTCATAGCCGGTTTTGCGATTGGATTCGCAAGCGTATGGCAAATAAGTCTCGTCACTCTCTCCATAGTCCCACTCATTGCTCTCGCCGGCGGCATCTATGCTTTCGTCGGCACCGGACTTATCGTCCGTGTCCGGAAATCATACGTCAAGGCCAACGAGATCGCAGAAGAGGTTGGTAACTTGTCAGTCAAGCAAAATATCTGAAAAGTGAAATATTCTTGTGTGTATTTAATTTCATATTTCCCTCTGTTTAAACTTAGGTGATCGGGAATGTGAGGACCGTACAAGCGTTTACGGGAGAAGAAAAAGCGGTGAGTTCGTACCAAGGAGCTTTGAAGAACACTTACAATTATGGGAGAAAAGCCGGTTTAGCTAAAGGACTAGGACTCGGTTCGTTGCATTTTGTTCTGTTTTTGTCTTGGGCTTTGCTCATTTGGTTCACAAGCATCGTTGTTCACAAGGGAATCGCTAGTGGTGGCGAATCTTTCACAACCATGCTCAATGTTGTCATCGCTGGCTTGTAATATATAACTTCTTGATTCTTTGCTCTGCACATTACCCTTATTTTTCTAGATGATCATAATAAAATTCTCTGTTTTGTTTTTTTTTTTTTTTTTTTTTTTTTTTTTTGGTATAGGTCTCTTGGTCAAGCGGCTCCGGACATTTCCACATTCATGCGAGCGAGTGCTGCTGCGTATCCGATTTTTCAGATGATTGAACGGAACACGGAGGAGAAAACAGGTCGTAAACTCGGGAAAGTAAACGGAGACATTCTATTCAAAGAAGTGACTTTCAACTACCCGTCTCGCCCTGACGTGGTGATCTTTGACAAGCTAAACTTCGTGATCCCTGCGGGGAAAGTCGTGGCTCTTGTTGGAGGAAGCGGGTCTGGGAAAAGCACCATGATATCTTTAATTGAACGATTCTACGAGCCTACCGATGGGGCGGTGATGCTAGACGGGAACGATATCAGATACTTGGATCTTAAGTGGCTAAGAGGACATATTGGTTTGGTTAATCAAGAGCCTGTTCTGTTTGCAACCACCATTCGCGAGAACATTATGTATGGTAAAGACGATGCCACCTCTGAGGAAATTACCAATGCTGCAAAGCTCTCGGAAGCCATCTCATTCATCAACAGCCTACCGGAAGGATTCGAAACCCAGGTATGTCGAGAATCGGATGGCTTAGAATACAAGAAATTTATTACTATAAAACCCTAAATTTTGCTTGTTATTCGGTGTTACAGGTAGGTGAGAGAGGGATTCAGCTATCCGGCGGGCAGAAGCAGAGGATCAGTATTTCTAGGGCGATAGTGAAGAACCCTTCGATTCTCTTACTCGACGAGGCAACAAGCGCACTAGATGCAGAGTCAGAGAAAAGCGTGCAGGAAGCTTTGGACAGAGTGATGGTTGGGAGGACAACGGTCGTGGTGGCTCATAGACTCTCCACCGTAAGAAACGCTGACATCATAGCCGTTGTTGGAGGAGGGAAGATCATCGAGTCTGGAAGCCACGACGAACTCATCTCCAACCTTGATGGAGCTTACTCTTCCCTCCTTCGTATCCAGGAAGCTGCCAGCCCTAACTTGAACCACACTCCAAGCTTACCAGTCAGGTACTTATACTCAAGATTAAAGAGTTTTTGAAAAGATAATTTCACTGACTATAGATTTTATGTTATAATCTAATGAAGGTTCTCTTTCTTTAATTTCTGCAGTACAAAATTCTTGCCAGAACTACCAATCGCAGAGACGACCTTATGCCCCATCAATCAATCTATAAACCAACCAGATACGACCAAACAGGCCAAAGTAACGTTGGGACGTCTTTACTCTATGATCCGTCCGGACTGGAAATACGGATTATGTGGGACGTTAGGTTCCTTTATTGCAGGATCTCAAATGCCGCTTTTCGCGCTTGGGATCGCACAGGCTTTAGTATCTTATTACATGGACTGGGAAACAACTCAAAACGAGGTCAAAAGAATCTCTATCCTCTTCTGTTGTGGTTCCGTCATCACTGTCATCGTACATACCATTGAGCATACCACCTTCGGTATTATGGGTGAGCGTCTCACTCTCCGAGTCCGACAAAATATGTTTTCAGGTACGCATAAACAAAAAACCGCGGTCTAAATCCTACGATTAGTTGTCTTTACATTGGTTGATCTAAATGTGAGATTGTTTTCTTCTTAGCGATCTTGAGGAATGAAATCGGGTGGTTTGATAAGGTCGATAACACTAGCTCGATGTTGGCATTGCGGCTTGAAAGTGATGCAACTTTGCTTAGAACCATCGTGGTTGATAGATCGACAATTCTCTTGGAGAATTTAGGTCTTGTTGTGACATCTTTCATCATTTCTTTTATACTAAACTGGCGTCTCACACTTGTTGTCTTGGCCACATACCCCTTAATTATAAGCGGTCATATCAGTGAGGTAAAACGCAGCTTTTTGCGTTCTTTTAAATAAATTTCCGCAGTTGCATTTACATATATACTTTTTTTTGGATGTCAATGAAGTCCTTACTCTTTTTTCTTGGTTGCATTTGTTAGAAAATTTTCATGCAAGGTTACGGAGGAAACCTGAGTAAAGCATATTTGAAGGCTAACATGTTGGCTGGAGAGTCTATAAGCAACATCCGAACCGTGGCCGCCTTTTGTGCTGAGGAGAAGGTTCTAGACCTTTATTCCAAAGAGCTTCTAGAACCTTCAGAACGTTCTTTCAGGCGTGGACAGATGGCTGGGATTTTGTACGGTGTTTCTCAATTTTTCATCTTCTCCTCCTACGGCCTTGCCCTCTGGTATACACATATAAACAGTTTCACGCATAGTATAATATTGTGAAGATTGAAACTTTATTGAAACTTTAGATGTTTTACAGGTACGGATCGATTTTGATGGAGAAAGGATTATCAAGTTTCGAATCTGTGATGAAAACATTCATGGTTTTGATAGTAACGGCGTTAGTAATGGGTGAAGTGTTGGCTCTAGCCCCAGATCTGCTTAAAGGAAACCAGATGGTTGCTTCGGTTTTCGAGCTATTGGACCGAAGAACTAAGGTTGTTGGAGATACTGGCGATGAGCTGAGTAATGTGGAAGGCACAATTGAGCTCAAAGGTGTCCATTTCAGCTACCCTTCACGGCCTGATGTGACTATTTTCAGTGATTTCAACCTAAACGTTCCTTCTGGCAAGAGCATGGCGCTTGTGGGACAAAGCGGATCTGGAAAAAGTTCGGTCCTTTCACTCATTCTCCGGTTCTATGATCCTACAGCCGGAATAATCATGATAGACGGTGAGTGCAAGCTCCTGACAGAATTAATTTTACCACAAGAAACACTAACCACAGGTTTCTTGCATCATAAGAAATTTGTTATTTAGTTGAGTAAACATTTTTTTGTTTCCAACCCATTATTGTTACAGGACAAGACATCAAGAAACTGAAGTTGAAATCACTGCGAAAACACATCGGTCTGGTTCAACAAGAACCGGCTCTTTTTGCAACGACTATCTACGAGAACATCTTGTACGGTAAAGAAGGAGCTTCTGAGTCTGAAGTCATGGAAGCAGCTAAGCTTGCAAACGCTCACAGCTTCATCAGCTCTCTTCCGGAAGGTTACTCAACCAAAGTCGGTGAACGTGGCATTCAGATGTCAGGCGGCCAGAGACAGAGGATTGCTATAGCTAGAGCCGTCCTTAAGAATCCAGAGATTCTGCTCCTTGATGAAGCCACAAGCGCCTTGGATGTTGAATCAGAGCGTGTGGTAAGCTTTCAATAGCATTTAGAGTTTGGATCAAGATTTTCCGCAAATATTTACAGGTTTATACTAATGAATTGTAGGTACAACAAGCATTGGATCGGCTAATGAGGAACCGGACTACGGTGGTGGTGGCTCACCGGCTATCAACAATCAAGAACTCAGATATGATAAGTGTAATACAAGACGGTAAGATCATAGAGCAAGGCAGTCACAATAGCCTCGTTGAGAACAAGAATGGTCCGTACTCTAAACTTATCAATCTTCAGCAGCAGCAGCCCCATCATCCTTAATTAAGAATTATTATTGAATTTTCAAAACTATTGTTTGTTTGTTTTTTCTCAATATCGATCCTACTTTACCAGATAGATATGATTATGTAACTCACATTTGATTATGCTATTCATACTGATTCATAGTTCAAGGAACCGTTCTCAAAACGGAACCTCTAAGACTTAGGAAATACTAAAATCAAAGTAAAAGTGAGGGCAAAAGAATTTAACGATTATTTATTGAATCTGAGGAGAACTTTAGCGGAAAGAGAATCGAATCACAGAAGTTTTCAAGAAATTGCAAGTAGCTTATAGCTTGAGTAATCTTGAACACAAAGTAGATAGAGGCTCTAAAACACTGACAGTTTTTGTCATAGAAATGGATCTTAAGGTACTGAGAGAAGCTTATGCTGCTGCTGTGATGTACTGGATGGCCTCCTTGCAGATACCTGTCATGGTTGCTTCTGGACCATAGACCTCGATGGGGACACCGATATCATCTCCAAGGGTTCGCATTTTAGCAAGTCCCTTTTGGTAGTTTGGTCCTCCCCTCCTCACAAAAATATGCATCCTTGCTGCTTTCAGCTTTGCTTCCTGTTGAGAAATATAATCACTGTAAGCCAAGATTTTTTTCTTTTGATCCCCTTAGTAATGAGTCTAAGAGAAGCTCAAGTTTTACCTTTTCTTTAAGAGCGCGGATTATGCCATTGAAAGTAGCAGCAACATCAGTGAAGTTGGCAATTCCACCCCCAATCACAAGAGCTCTGCTTTTTCCATCCGGGTTTGCTGTAGCACACTGCAGTATTGTATTGTTACTGTTAAGTAACAGGTAAAGAAATGTCTTATGAAAGTGGAAAATAATTAATCTTACGTCAATAACGACTCTGGCGTACTGCAAAACCTCATCTTCTTTGGGTGCTCCACTATATTCAGCATAGTTGCCAAGTTCAGATGCATACCCGAGATCTCCAACCTAGATAAGAAATTTTTGTGTTGGACTTAATAAGGGACAATATGCAGAGATTCTCTCAGTAATGATTCTTTAGGGAACATACAGTATCCGCATAGATGACACTTGCTCCTCCACCAGCTACCATTGTCCAAATCCGTCCCTTGGGGTTCAGAACGGTAAACTTCAAAGACGCACTTGTCTGCAACCACAATAGGTACATATTAAAGAAAGCTTTTTACTAGTCACAGAAAGCAGACAGACGTTTTGATTATATTAATGTCACGAAGATAATACCTTCTCATCCAGTCCATGGATAAAGCTTTCTGTGGCACTCATTACTCTTCCAAATGGCATAGGAAATTCAATGTCGCCCCATCTGTAAGTATAAAGGATAAATCATGTAAACCTTCTCGAAGTTCTTAAGCTCAAAGAATTGGGGAAACCCGGGGTCAAACTTACTTTTTAAAGTTTTTGAAGGCGGCAGTATCATCAAGCTCACCCCTCATATCTAGAGGATAAGGACTTCCATCAACTAGAGTGAAAGGATTCATCTCCAAGAAAGTGAAATCAAGATCTAGCACACCAAAAGAAATACCAAAAATGATTAGTTCTTATCAGGGATTTTGATTCGTGTGTAGGTTCAACTATTCTTGGCATACCTTGGAATAGGGTGAAAATGACTTTGATAAATTCTTCAATTTGAGCTTTGATCTGTACATGGAAATGTTACACGTCTAAGTCACGAGTCCAATTTCTAAGTTATGTTCACAAATGACAACCCTATAATCCAATTAAAAAGAGTCGATTACCTCTAAGGGAAGAGTTGCCACAAGAGGTGCACAAATTTCAGGTGTCAGGGAAGCACCTGTTGGTAAAAATATAGTCTTGACCTGCAGAAATTGGAGCCTCAACACAAGTTTTCATCTTTATGATGCAAGATACTGAAATAGACACAAAGACATTATATTTGAACAAAAATCTCTTCCAAAATACCTTGTCCCAGTTCTCCTCGATCTCAATTCCTCCACACTCTGAAAAGCTTATGCTGCACCCAAGCCGATCCGAGACAACATTAAGATAAAACTCTTCATTGTGTGGAACAAATGGCTCAACTATGAATGTTGTTATGGGTCCTTTGCATCCACTCATCTCTACCTATAGATGATAGATAAAAAGGTTGAGTCAACATGGTCTCAGAAAAGAATGGCTTTTAGAAGCGCAAAACAAAAACGTTACCTCTTTGCCCAAACGGTCTTTCACAAAAGTGGCAACATCAGCAAAATCTAATTTCAAGGCAACCAAACCACTCTTGCCACGCTTTCCAAACAACATGTCAGGTTTCACCACCAGCTTCTCGGACGAGAGCCAAGGCTCCTTTTCAACTACCTCATTTAGATCAGTGGTTTCATTAATCTACACACAGGAGAAATAAATAAATAAGGTTACATGAAGCTTTATGAAAACAACATAGATCCAAAAAAGAGATGCTTATGCAATCACCAATTCATAAATGATGAATTGGAGAAAAGCTATATACTTTAGAGTCTAAACTGCAGAACATCATCTGCCTAATGTCGGAGAAACCAATGCAAGAATGTAACCACAATCTAATGTCGGAGAAACCAATGTCCAAACTCAGAAGCTAGAAAAAAAAGACAAGATCCAAGGAAACAGATTTAAACCTGAACGGATCTGATAGGAAGTTCTTTGCCAGAAAGCCTTTTGAAGTGTTCCTTCACCAATCTCTTTGAGTCATACTCTCTAATCTTCTTCCTCGCCATTTCAAAACGAAAACTGGAGAAAACAACAAAGAGAAAACAAAAATCAAAATCACAGATCCAGAGACTGATAAACACAAATCAAACGCGAGAACAAAAAAAAAAAAAAAAAAAAAAACTCATTTCCCAATCAAATCCGCTAACGATTCAATTCCAAAACGAGAGACGAGAGAGAGATGGTATAAGCCAAATTACGCAATGAGATGTGATTATACACGAACAAAGCCTAAAATTTCCAAAGATTGAAAGGAGAAGAAACAGAGATCGGTGAAAATGGCGGATCTTTACCGTTGAGAGAATGGTGTAGCTTCACAGGTTGGGTAGTTAGCTCACCAACACGACTCTTCTCTTCTTTGCCTTCTAATCTTAAAGGACCGAATTTACCATTTATAGTTGCAACTTACAAAATCATCCTTTCCCTCATTAAGTATTGTTAAAAACTTTATTATAGAATTATAATACCAAAATATTATATACAGATGCATATAATTTAATGTTTTTTTCAAATCTTAATATATACTTTTATATAAATAATTGCAAGACTTTGCACCTACGCATCTTTGAAAAAGCTGGTGGATGTTCAATTGTTCATTCAATTTTAGAGAAGGCCACCTAACTCGTAAATGAACGTTTTAACATCAACCATTCCATTTGTGTCACATATGATATAACCAACTTTTATTTTTAAAGAAAATAATATTTATTAATTTCTCATAACTTATTTTGTCGCATCTTTACAAGTTACACAACAATTGTATTATTTTCAGATCCCTTGCCTTCCTCTTTCTTTCTCCTGGCTAGCCTCTTATCCACAAAGAGGGTTTGACTTTCTCTAACTTTCTTATTGACTGTGACTTTGACCATGACCATTGTCTCTCCATGTGTGTTATTTTCTCGTGAACAAGAATCTCAACAAATAGAAGATGAAAACTGAATTCGGGCAAACCAAAACTATTACGACTTGTGCCGCTGCAGCAAGTGATTCTTCAGCTTTATGATCAAAGCGAAGACCGCAAAGCACGGTATATGCATCACAGCCACTCCCAAGTACCTGCAGAAACATTAGTAAAACATCATAATAATTGCCTCCTTTTATTTATTGTTAAATTTGATTTTATTTGGAAACTTTACACGATAACAAACTAAGTGTGAAGAGTTTATAAACGTACCATAAGGGTGCATATGGTGACGAAAGATCAAGAAATTGGTATGGCCACCTGCAAAACATGTATAACAAGATCCCTTAAAACTCTTAACAGGCACTGCGATTCTGTGTGTTAATCAGTACAATGAGTTAACATCTGGGGTCAAAATGATGGATACCCTTTTGCCTCTATATGAAGATAAGAAAACAGAAGAAGTGTGTACCATAAGTTCTTGACGGCATGGATTATCCATTGGTAAGCTACAAAAATGCAGCTCCAAAGTACAAAGTAAGAGATCCGGAACAGAGGGTATCGCTGGATAAGGAAAAAATAAGATTGCCTTTAGATTCTAAATAAAAAGGTGGGAGATTCGTGTATCCGCAGGCTTCAGTTTTGAAGACTTACCAAGGAATTGAGGCTTGTGTCACCAAGGAGAAAAACAGCATTGAGAGAATGCATACAAACATCGAGCTGCAATCAAAGTAACACATGTAAGGAATAAATATATTCATCATCCACTTGTCGTATAGAGATTGCCAGAGAAAAAGTGATCATATCAAATGAATCCAGAATGGAAATCAAACGGTATTAGAGCCAGAACTTACAAAACTCAGCTTGTAACCTTTAGTAAACGGGTAGATTATTGCCCAAAATACTATATCTGTTAGCACAACAGCACCTGCACAAGTCTGTCCCAACAGACCACTTCGTAAGTCCTTTTGAAGCATTGAGATGGCATTATAAAGTCTTCACTCTCAACAAGATAATTCAGGAGAAGAAAAAGACACTTACTTGGAAAAGGATCTGAAAGGTATAAACCCAAAACCCCGCTGATTCTCGGACGGGTGCTTCTGAATGTATATTGGATGATTTTGACGTATTTCCCTCCCCATCAAGGGCGATTGGTGGTCTATAAGTGCCTTGTTCCGTATCACCTATACTTGTATAAGTCTCCATGTTTCCACCAGCTTCTTTATTGTAGATGCAGCATCCATAAATAGACAACACCGAAGCATACTACGAAAAAAAAATAGTATCACAGATTTAGTGTCTAAAACTAAGGTGGTAACCTCAACAACGGAATGTCCAAGAGATTTACCCCAAAGTAGAGTGTGACAAGAGTAAATGTCCACCTGTTTCAGCAAAAAGATTGGATCTTTGTCATTCATTTAAAGGATTCAGAAATGTGGGAAACAAGTTAAATGATTAAAACTCACTGAGTATAGAAGTAGAATATGCCGGCTCCATCTCGCACAACATTGGAGATGAGCAGAGTCAACATTGCAACAAAGGAGAATACTCTAAAGGCAAGCAACCAAAGAGGGTGGATTCTTTTAAAACATGTGGTCCAAGCTTCATCTTGGAACAATGTCCCGGGTAATACTCGCTGGCTCTCGCGTTGCCTTCTTCTCTTGCCTTCATATTTCCAAATGAGAACAGCTGCTAAAACTAGTGGAGCTAAGAGGATTAATGCACAAAGGAGGACCCTCCAATTCAACCAGTAACTTGAAGCTGTGGTATCAGCAGCCATGGCCAGTCAATAGAGTCCTAAGATTCCATCAAAAAGCAAAGCAGAACATCACCTCGACAAAATGTCTCTGTAAGAATCTCAGTTTTGTTTTGGAATTCGAACTATTCACAAGACTATAAAGATGGCGAAAAAGGTAAGACCTTTTTGCACTAGCGGACAAATATAATTGGAACAAGAACTTGCGATATAGAACCCACTTTAATTTTCATAAATTTAACGAAGATTTTCAAAAATTCCCACAAGCTACTGTATATAGTAAAAACAGAACAAAGAGAGAGATGAATCATAAAATACAGAAGATTACTTGGAGATTCGAAGACTATTTTGTTCCAATGATTCAGAGGAGACTCTCTTCTAACGCATCCTCTCAACGACTCGAAGATGCTGAGAGCCTCCAGGAAACCACAAAGAAACCAGAAGAGAAATAAAGGAAAGATCTTTGACGGGATTATAAGTTGGCAGAGGAAGAAGATGGAAACTTTTGTCGTGCAGATTTTTATCCGATCTAAACGGAATCGCCACAAATCGTTATAATTTTTACAACCCCGGTTATGTTCGGTTTAAGATATGTGTTTAATTTCCTCCGTATTTCTGTTGGTTCAACCAACCCACGCGACATAAAGAAACCGAACAGGTGTGAACGCAAATCAATTGCTTCTTTCACTCTTCTTAAACCGGAGATAACCGGATTTTAATGTCTATGCTCCATTGTGCTTTGAGGACGAATATGGGGGAAAACGGTATTTTTCAACCTCAACTATTTACTGGCGGATTTTTCCAACCCAAACTATGACCCCCAGTCGATTTCAACCTAAACCTAAAACTAATTCAAAATCGAAACTTGAACTAATGTAAATGAGCCGATTTCAACATGACACGAAACAGTGTTAGTTCGGAAGTTAACGATTGTTCAACCTTAGGTAATTCTCTCTCTATAGCATTCAACAAATCCTGAAAATAAAATCAAATAACCTTGAAAATCGTTAACTTCCGAACTAACATTGTTTTGAATTATTTTTAGGTTTGGGTTGAAATCGACTGGAGTTCATAGTTTGGGTTGGAAAAACCCGCCAACAAATAGTTGAGGTTAAAAAAGACCGTTTTCCCGAACGAATATGCTCCTATATCCAAATTTTGTGCCAGACGTTTACAAGAATATACTGAAACCAATTATAATTTCCCACTTATGAATAGTAGATCTTTCACATAAAATTCCCAAATTTTCAACATCTTTTCATATGCAAATCTTTGACTTCTTTTCGTCGCCATTGTTGGGGTTTTTTAATACCTGGCTTTGTTTGGATTATTTATTATGAATAGCTAAATAATCGTCAATTGTATTCCGACCAAAAAAAAAAATCGTCAATTGTACTTAATTTTTTCTAAAACAAAATCAAGTGTTTTAGCATGCTCAAATTTAGTATTCAGATTCCGACCGGATTGGTCTTTTTCTTTGACGACCGGGTTGGTTTAGTCTTTGTGTAATAGTATAGTTTATAATTTAAGCGATCGTTATGGTTTAGTTCGAAAAATATTCTTACACATTTGCTATATATAACAGCAATTGAATCGTACAAACCTCTTATAATCCAGGGTTATCAATAAATAGACTGCATCTAAATAAGCAACCTTAAAACTAGTTTACACACGTAAAAGCTTATATGCTTAATCTTGGGAAAACGGCCTTTTTCAACCTCAACTATTTTCTGGCGGATTTTTTCAACCCAAACTATGACTTCTAGTCGATTTCAACCCAAACCCATAAATAATTTAAAATCAGAACCTGAACTAATGCAAATGAGCCGATTTCAACACGACGCGAAACGGTGTTAGTTCGGAATTTAACGGTTGCTCAACCTTGGGTAATTCTCTCTCTACAGCATTCAACAAACCCTGAAAATAAAATCAAATAACCTTGAGAACCATTAATTTTCGAACTAACACTGTTTCGCGTCGTGTTGAAATCGACTCATTTACATTAGTTTCGGGTTCGATTTTGAATTATTTTGGGGTTTGGGTTAAAATCGACTGGGGATCATAGTTTGGGTTGGAAAAACCCGCTAGCAAATAGTTGAGGTTGAAAAATACCGTTTTCCCGCTTAATCTTATAGTCGAACCTTAAAGTTCAAAAGGACCACATATAAGAGCATGAGTATTTCATCTTAGGAATACGTATAATATATAGGTGTATATATAAAGTTCAAGCTTTTTCTCCTATATATCTAGCTACAAGCCTAGACCAAGTGATCTTCATTACATTCTTTTGGCAAGCCTCGGCGATCTTCGGACATATCCGCCTGATCAAAGTTCACGCAAAAAAAAAAACTCTTCATCAAAATCGAATTAAACAACCTAATATATATCTTGATGTGTGGTCTATATGTTGACTGATAGATTAAACTGAAAAATTTTAACACATTTAATCCCACATTATCTTACTTAAGAAGGGCCTAGGAGAGACGAAATGCCCATATGTTTCAAAGAAGTCCTTATTTTCTCTTTGAAGTCCTCTCCAAACTGCGGGGAAAAAAACACATATAATTTGTGTAGCACACTTGCCTAATAAGCCTGATATATAGCTGAAAAACTGCATAATTAAATTAGTTCATAGCCTGTTGTGAACTCAACAATATAAGATATGTCGAATATATAATGATGAACATGCATGATCTAAGAAACTCTTAACAAACCTCCCCTCAATTTCTTCAACTGTTCCATATAATTATCATCATTTGACATAGCGATATCGAAACCTACGTCTAAATGTCATTTTAATTCCTTTTAACGAAGCTTTCAAACAGTTAGAATATATTGATTTTGAGGAAACATAGGTTCTATATGTGTAACTTTGTAAAGAGTAGCTAACCAGTGAGCGTAACGAGTGGTAGAATGCTTGCGTGATGGTCTAACGCCTTGACGCATTCGTCACGAGTCATACGGAGTAGAATGCATCTCTCTATCATATGTTGAACCTAACAAAATCAACCACTAGTGGTGAGGATTGTTACACCAAATACAAAACGTATGAACTAAATACAGTATGTGTATGTGTATGTAGTTATGTACCATGCGAATGTACGAATGTGGTTGGCAATGGAGACAAGGGAGATTGTTGTGTTGTGATTCATCATGATGAGTACACATTTTCTTCTTCTTCTTTCTCCTTTGATCTTCGCTCTTCTTCTTCTTGTTAGATCTCCAGATGATTTGGGGCACAAATCCAAGAAATTTGGAAGTGAATTATGAGTTATAGCGGAAAGGAACAAAACATGAAGATATTTTCTGTGACAAAATTAGGAAGCTTCTAAATATAGATACACTTGTATATACATACGCAGATACACATGTGGGTATATTGGATAGTGTCATTTAATGAGTTATCCAAGAGAGATCCAAGTGAAGGGCTAAAAATAGAGGAGAGGATCCAAAGGATAGATTCTCTATCCCACACTTTTTCAACTTGATCACATTTTTTTTTTTTGGTTGGAACTAACTTGTCTTTTGACTATGACTTCACAGTTTACCTTTGTTTTTTTCTTACTTTCTGGGACATAGGTTCTCAACCAAACGTTAATTAGGGTTCTTTGTCTGTTTTTTTAAACGGGCAAGTTAGAGGGGGGTTAATACAAAGACTAATTACCGGATGATATAGTGTTTGCAGCTTTAATTTGGTTCAACTTCTTCTAAACCAAAAGAATTGATATTAATTTTTGAACCAATAATTAATATAAACCAACCCGGTTAAACAACATTTTCTCTTAAAACATGTATTCTTTGTCATATAATTTCCTTAGACCGGAACGAATAAACCGGTTATTTGGGATAGAGTGCCAAACCCCTCTCGATGAATGACTGCCTTCAAACATATCACAATAGTGACTGGTCCCTGGTATACCTTTTGAATTATGTGGCCAACCAAATGCCACTTGAATCATCAATACACGACAAAGTTTTGTGTATAGAGGCAACTTGAAAGTTAAACTATGAGGCTCTCCGCAAATTTAGAAGATTAGTGTGTGGTTCTTGTGACTTGCGAGTCTGCGTGTGACTTCAATGGCCCCCGTAAGTCTACCTACCAGGTCTCAACTCTTGTGCAATTACAATAACTGCTCTATAATGTTACATGAATATTAATTAAGATTCTTTAAACAAATGCAATTTGGGTTTACATTATTGCCTAATTGAGCTTTCAAATGAAGTTGCCAGAGATTTTTTTTATTATATATCAATATAAGGGTTTTGTTTTGTGGTTGTGGACAAAAGTTATCGTTAAGACATGTCAATACTGAGTCATCATGATCGTCCACATCTTGAACAACCAAGTGGTTTCAGATATGGTTACGGTACTAAAGCAAACAATGACGCTACCGAAGAATAACTTACTTAAGCAGCATCACTAGATCACGTTAGTGGTTTGGTGCTATCAGTTATTCTTCCAAAACTTAAACCAAAAAAAAAAAAAAAAAAGTTATTCTTCCAAATTTTGGATTTTATTCCAAAACTGTAGTAAAAAAAAGTCATACATTTCAAAACTAGTTAAGGCCGCTATAATTAATAAAAATCTTAGTATCCACATGAGTAGCATCAATATTTGCCTGCATGCAGCATTATTAGACTGAACCTAGAGAATATATAGAGCTTTTGAGCTTCATGCATCACATCAAAATCACAGTTTACCCACTCAAAGCATGAGAAGTAGAGATTAAAACATTTCAGAGGCAAAATATCACAAGGATAAAAAGTGGACTATAAGATCTTTAATGCATATGAACAACTGAACAAATCAAAATCGAACATATGAAAAGATTTTCTTAAATGTTCTAATAATATGGAGATGATATATACTGTACCACATGAAATTTATTAATAATGGGAACAAGGAGACTTAATAATACGAGGATTTGTCTCTTCCACTATGCAAGAATAGTTCCGGTCTAGAGCTAGACGAAACACACATTTCTGTAAAGTCTCTCTGATTTTGTTGACCGACACCAACCTCTTTACATACAACAAGAGTTGGAAGATCAACACATGGCCACATAAAACAAGGAACTCAACTCGTACAAATTAAAGAAGGTGGCTCGCCTATGAATATATATATATTGGAAAGACCAATTCTTCCATTAAATTGAAGACAAATTTTATTTCTTTCACATATACCAAATCATCAATGGTTCATTTTCTTTACGGCACCCTTCAACCAAAACATGCATGAGGGGCTTCTACTTTTCAGACTTGTCAAGCTGGATCGATCAGTTTAGCCGAAAGTCTCACAACCAATCATACAAAAAATTTAATTTTGGTGGTTCAGGTTCAATTTCTTTGTTACATAATGTTCAACGGATCTTTAGACCGTCAATATTGAAATTAATACAAAAATTAGATGTTATTTCAGTCTAGAGAATCGCTGTTAACAACTTGAAAGAAAAGCAAAGGTTTATGCACTGGACAATGGACATAGTCAAAAGCTATAAACATAACAAATCTTCAACCAAATATTAATTGGATATCGTGTAACGTTACAAAGAAAAGGAAAATAGTACTACACTTAATAATAAATTGATTGCGTCTGTGTGGTTGCAACCACTAGAAAACCTTTTGCTTTTTCTTTTTCAAAAATTATATTCCCTCTTTTTATTTGGATAAATTAATATTCCTGTTTTACAAAGGTTAATTTTTACACGATTTATTATTGCAAATTTTCTAAGCAAGTAAAACTATAATTACCTTCCGACAAATCTGGCGTGCGACGGTTTAGTCTGGTCCACGTTTCGAGAAAGTCACGGTAACTATATATACTCTCTATAAGATAAGGCTTCTTTTTTCATTATTTCCCCGCCAAAACTTACCCGCCATATTTGCCCAACGACCTGGCGCGTGGATCCCACTCGCAATTAAACGGCTCCTTTTTCTATGATGCACACAACACATTGACTGAGATCACGGCGGACACGTTGTCGTTGATACCTTCTCCGTTACCGTCGCATGAATTCGAGTAAGTAAATTCATGTTAAAAGACGTGAATACCCCTAGGGTTAGTTGACCATCTCTTTTTCTTCTTCTTCGACTGTCATAATTCCCACACTGTGGAATCCGTGTCCTGCCTGACTTTGAATTTGACGTGAAACCATTATTCATTATTAATATCACCGTTCACATCTTTGCATATTTTTTGTGAAAGACACATCTTTGCATATTTCATTATTTCTTTTTTGGCATTATACTAGTATAAATTACTCCCTCCGTTTCAAAATATAAAGCGTTTTAGCTAAAAGCACGCCGATTAAAAAGATCTACTTTTAAAAAATTCAGCCAATCATAAAAGAAACTGCATAATAAAAATAATCATAAAATATTAAAGTAATATATAATTTGCATATAAACTTAAAAACGACTTATATTTTGAAATAAAAAAGTTTATCCAAAACTTCTTATATTTTGAAACGGAGGGAGTATAAAATAGTAGCAAATATGTGTTGATCATGGTCGTCGAGTGATTTAAAGTTTTAAACATAGGGAGACAGAGTTTGATTTTTCTATAAATATAAATATCTGTTCATATAATGTGCATAGCAACATCTGTGTTCGTCGTTCGTGGTATTGATTTAATCGGTGGAATATTTTAAACTATATATATATATATATATATATATATATATATCATTAACGTCTCTCGTGGTATTGACTTCCAGAGAATCCAATTTGAATTGTTCACATGTAACATCCTAGTTAAATTATAAAAATATTAAAGAACTCAATGGTTTAATAATTCATATTTCGATACGTTTCATTCAAAATGACTAATCTCTGTCGTAGTAGATGATATTCGATGGAAAAAAAAAACAAATCCTCGTTGATATGAAATGGTTCTAACTAGATACATGTGGAATCATGAAATGAGGTTTTTATACTATAAACTTACTGAAATTTAATCCTACTCCACATTTTTAATTTACCTTTTTTTTTGTTTTTTGTCAACCATTTTTAATTTACCTTATTCTGTATTTTTATTAAATGTTTTTACTTTTAGTTTTAGTCAGAACAATTTCTTAAATTACCCTAAATTAGTAATTTTATCAGGTCATTTAATTAATAACAATATTGGTGATAAACCCGTTTTCAAAAAAAATTATGATTTCACTATTTTATTCAAAATATTAATCTTATGTTTACGTTTCGAAAAATGATTATGTTATATACTATATAAGCATTAAAAAAAAATCATGAATCTACTAAAACTTGTTATATAGCTAAAAGAGAAATTAACTTTTGTTTTCAAAAACCAAAAAGAAATTAACTTAAATAAGTAATTTTAATACGATCATGTAATTAATAACAATGTTGGTGATAGACACGTTTTCAAAATCTTCATCATACTTTTACATATCGAAAATAATGTTTGTATCTAGTAACTTCATGAATCTAGTAAAAATTGTTATGTAACGTTTTTGCCAACTTTATTCAGCTAACTGTTTTCAAAATTTGACTATTCATATCAGTATCCTAATATTACATATCCAATTAATAGGTTCGATATAGTATGAGTCAAAGCTATAATTTTATGGGATTTAACAAAAAGAAGGAAACCTAAAAAAAAAAAGAGGAAGGTAATAATGAAAAGTTGGCGTAATGAAAGAGAGATACACAAGTCACGAAAGAAAAGACGAGAAAGCACCACCAACGGTTCTTGTTTACATTTACTATCAACCATTTTTTTTTCTTACTCAAGTTTTGAAGTTTCTTTTTCTTGTTTCGTTTTGAATGATTCAAAAAAAAAACTTATTAATAATTCATATCGAAAATCGCCAACCCAACTTCCCCCACTTCTTCCACCACTGTCCCGCTCCATCGCACCCGCTTTGCTTACCACATCCATCCATCATTCATTCATTTCATTTTCTTTCTCTCTTCTTCTTCCGTTTCTTTTGCCTCTTTCTTTTGTCTTCTTCCTTCAATTTTTTGTGGCTTTAAATTTATTGGGTTTTGTTCTTCTTCTATAGCCGTTTCATCTTCTCATAAGCATCTTCTTCTTCTCTTTTTTTCCTGTCAAGATCCTGAATCATCGGTTCGTCTCTCTCGATTTCTTAACCCTTTTTTTTTCAGAAAAAAAATTATGGGCTATATAAAAAGTATTTTCTTCTGAGTTGATGATGATTTTTGTTTAACTATTATATATGCAGGGTCTGGAAGGAAACTAGAGTTTGTGAAATCGGATGAATCTTTTGAGAAATCTCTGAATAAGGTATAATTTTTATTTCCTCTTCTTCTTGCTATATCATTCTTTTTTGGAAAACTACAATATTTTTAGGGTTTTCTGTTTCTGGGTTATGATTTTTACTTTGAACTTTTGTTAATCTTTCCATGTACCTAGAGATTTGCCTTAAATCAGTACCAGTTAAGTTACATATTTATATGGAACTTTGACTTTTGAACCAATCAATCAATCTCTTTTGTATCCCCTGTTTATCAGGCAAATAATTCATAGAAAATCTAATTTCTTAGGTAAAAATGGTTATAATTCTCAATCAACCTCTCTTTAGATTTTGGTTTATTATATAGATTTAGCATCATATCTGTTTTTATGATCCAGCATTGTCTCGTTTTACTCTTCTCTGCTTTGTAAGTCTGTTTGGTATTTTGAGTTCGAAATGTATATAGACAATGATTCATGTTTTTGATTTCAGTATTTGTGTTAGATTATTTGCTTAAGACAGACAGGTCAAATCTTGATTTGTCTCTTCTTCTTCCTTAGCTGCAGGTGTTAGTTAGTACTCTAATTCAACAGAGAGAGTCGAATTACTCGTTTACTTTTGAGGAAGATGCTAAGTGGAAACAATGGAAACACTGTACCACCGGTTTTCATGAACGAGAACCAGTTGCAATACCAGACAAACCTACAATCGAATCAGCTTCACTTGCTCGGAACCAGTAAGTTTCGGTTTCTCTCTTAATGTCTTTATCGCAAACTAAACGTCGCTCACTCGAGAAACTTAGTATTTTCTCTGTTTTTCTTTTTGTGCAGTGGGAGGTGGATGCACTGTTGATCCAGTAAACTACTTTGCTAACGATACTCTCGTTCCAATGATTCGGCCTAACAAAAGAGGAAGGGAAGCCGAAAGCATTAGTAACAACATCCAAAGACAACAGAAGCTTCAAATGTCTTTGAACTATAATCATAACAACATTAGTGTTCGAGAAGAAGTGCCTAAAGAGAATCTAGTCTCAACTGGTCTTAGACTATCTTATGATGACGATGAACGCAACTCTTCAGTGACTTCTGCTAGTGGTAGCATTGTAGCTGCTTCTCCAATCTTTCAGTCACTCGATGATAGTCTTCGGATTGACCTCCATAGACAAAAAGATGAGCTTCACCAGTTCATCAAGATCCAGGTATTGATTGTCTCTGCATGTGTTCTGTTTTTGCGTGCAAAGGTTATTCGATTTGTAATGTTTTTGCTTGCTTTTATGTGGTTCAGGCAGCTCAAATGGCGAAAGGTGTGAGAGATATGAAACAGAGACATATCGCATCTTTTCTCACTACTTTAGAGAAAGGAGTGAGCAAGAAGCTTCAAGAGAAAGATCACGAGATCAATGACATGAACAAGAAGAATAAAGAGCTCGTGGAACGGATAAAGCAAGTGGCAACAGAAGCTCAGAATTGGCACTACAGAGCAAAGTACAATGAGTCTGTGGTTAATGTCTTAAAGGCAAATCTCCAACAAGCAATGTCACACAACAACAATGTGATTGGTGCGGCAGATCAAGGCAAAGAAGGGTTTGGAGACAGTGAAATAGATGATGCAGCTTCATCATACATTGATCCAAACAACAACAAGATGGGGATTCATCAGAGGATGAGATGCAAAATGTGCAACGGGAAGGAAGTATCGGTGTTGCTTGTGCCATGTCGGCACTTGAGTTTGTGTAAAGAATGTGATGTATTCACTAAGATTTGTCCTGTATGCAAGTCTTTGAAAAGTTCTAGCGTTCAGGTCTTCTTTTCTTGAATCTGTGACCAAAACTGGAACAAAAGAAAAGATGGAAAAAGAGAATCCATTATATAAGTCTTTCAAACTCTTTTCAAAAGATATATTTTACTATATAAAATTATTTGTATCGGAGTATTATTTTGCATCTGTTTAGAAGTCTTGAAGAACCTAGAAATTTATGAAATGAAACATTCTTATGGCTGAACTTCCAATCTTTAATATCTTTTTTATTAACGTCCAAACATTTCATTAAAGTGACGTCTTAACAAAGGTTACAAAGATTTATAAATTTGAGAAAACGAAATTACAGTGTTTCCTTTAGGCACAAGCATTACTACTCGCTAATAAATCCATAATTTACATAGTAGTGATTTCTGTGAATATAATGATGGACTCAGCCTAAACTTAATGCAATTTTGGATTAAGACATTGAACATTTAATAAAACAAAGCTCACTAACGTCACGGCTCTTCGGCTTCATGGAGACTATAAATATGTAGTTGACAACAGGAACCCTGGCAAAAGGGTTCATGTTTTTTGTTTGCTCAGAGAACCAAAACTCATATTTAGCTAATCCAGAAAGAGCTCAATATGTCCCGTTGTCTACTTGTATTCCTTGTAAAACGTTTTCATAAAAGGGAGAAACAGAGCAAGCCTTCTTTATTCACCCTAAACAAGTAACGAACCAATGTTGGTTAGTTCGGTTTTCGTTTAAAAATCCGATTGCTTGAATTATATAACCTGAACCGTCGTCTTATATGTAGACTGCATCTGCTTCTTAGTGGGCTCAGAAAATATAAAAAAGCTCATATTGGCTTATTAGGCCTTTTCTAAAACAACTCACTGAACCTAACCAGAAATAAATAACTGATTAAACCTAGTTCAGGGAGAAGCAGAGCCAGCTTTGAATGGCCAATATTGAGGTAACTTGGGAAGCAAGACAGCGGACCAAGCCCGTGAAGCCCATGAAACCCGTGAAGCCGAAGTCAAATAATATTCTAGATATCCTATTGTGATAAGGATTAAGAAATTTAGAATATTTACTTATTCATGTTTATCTATTTTCTAATCTACTTAGGTTAAACCTAAATTAGTTTCTATATATATTGTATCAACTTTCTTGAGATCAATAAGACAGAATAAAGAGTTTTTCCCCAAAACTTTCTCTAGTTTCTACAGCCAATCTGGTTTTGGACTAGGCGTTTCTAATGTTTTCTATTAGATTGAACTTGAGATCATGAAAACATTTCATTAACATATATGTTAGTAATTAGAGGTTTATCATAGAGCAGTTTAGGTGGAAGCTTCAGTTTTAAAGTTGTTAGATTTTTTATTTTATTTTGAAAAATCATTTTTTTCGACTGAAAAATTTCATTATAAGAACGACAAGAGTTACAACATTAATAACATACATGTGATCATCACTGACATTTGTATTTAATTTGACATACCGTATCAAAATTATATATAGATATGCATGTGTATACATATGTATGCATCGACCATCCAAACGTTGAACGATGATTGGATGATGGTCTAGTCTCTAGAGTAATGAGAATTGAGAACAAAACGATTTGGACAAGAGACTGGGAAAAGAGACAAATTTATGAAGCAACATAACAGTAAATATTGCGAGGTCGGCTGCTTTTCTTCGAAAAAAAAATAGTACTACTTAAGAGAGTATATTTTATTTACAATCCATCAAAATTAAAATGCTTGTTTTTTCTTTGGGAAAAAGATACCTAGCTACACGAAGTATGCTACAATACATGGCCACACATCCGAAGTTTTAAAATGTATCCCTAACTACATAAATTATATGTATCGCATGCCCACATATACGAACTATATGTAGTCATGTCGCCAACCTCACGAACATTTTTTCCGGTACACTTTTCCGGCGTTGACCAGTTTGACCGGCGTTGACCGGCATTGACCAACATAAATATTCAAAAAAAAAATTAGTTTTTTAATATTTAGAAAATTATGTTATTGAATCATTTATAATATTGTATAATTAAAAATATATATACAATATTTTATAATTAGTTAGTTTCAATAATTTCAAAACTAAACTAAAAATAAAATAAAAATCAATTACGTAAAATAATTGTAAATGGAAAATTTTCCATACTCTCTAGTCTAAAGTTTTTTTGTATAATATGTTGTTAATTTTTGTATTTAAAATTATTACAAAAATTCTTTTAATAACACCTAAAAATAAATAAAAAATCACAATGTTTCGTTTTAATATTTATAAGATAGAAGATCTAATGAACTAGTAAAATAAAATTCACAAAAATTTGGTTTGATTCTAATGCTTTAATATTTAAAATTCACATATTAAATATTAAATATTCGAATATTTATTTTAACGTGTTATTAAAAGAATTTTTCGTAGTAATTTTAGATACAAAAATTAACAACATATTATAACAAAAAACTTTAAACTAGAGAGTATTTAAAATTTTCTATTTACAATTATTTAACCTAATTGATTTTTATTTTATTTTTAGTTTAGTTTTGAAATTATCGAAACTAACTAATTATAAAAATCAATGCATTGAATATATATACAAAATATTTTTATATTGAATATTGTATATATATTTTTAATTATACAATATTATAAATGATTCAATAACATAATTTTCTAAATGTTAAAAAACTAAATTTTTTTTTTTGAATATTTATGTTGGTCAACGCCGGTCAAACTGGTCAACGCCGGAAAAGTGTACCGGAAAAAATGTTTGTGATGTTGGCGACATGACTACATATAGTTCGTATATGTGGGCATGCGATACATATAGTTTGTGTAGTTAGGAATACATTTTGAAACTTCAGATGTGTAGCCATGTATTGTAGTATACTTCGTGTAGCTAGGTATTTTTTTCCCTTTTTCTTTCCACATTAAAATCAGCTTGTCGCAAATTGCGGAACATTGACACTTAAATTAAACTTAATGGCACAAGATTGACGAATTCTTTGAGCTGATAAATATCTAACTTTGGACCGTTTATTTATTCTCTTAACCAAATATCCACATCAACTTCAATCACCATTTGCACACTTAATATTCTGATTATATAATCTAAGAACAACATTTAGTTAGTTTTTTTTTTTTTTTGCTAAATTGTAATTATTTCATAGATATGAAAACAATTTAAGTTGCAATCAAATGATTGAAAACCTATACATATGGTTTCAAGGCAAAAAGAATTAAAAAAAAAAACTATTAAGATAAATTTTTTATAGTGACAAGCCCTACCACAAAGCGGTCCCATATCCAGAAAAAAATTTCATCTTCGGTTTGGACTTACATGTTAGTATACACCGTTTGCCCTTATTTGTATGGAGAAATTTTTATTTGGAGAGACTAAATGCCACCTTAATGACAGAATGTCTCGAACTCGAAATCTTTGACACTCATCTGTTAGTTCCAAGCATTGTTTATCTTAATATGAAAATTAGTCAATCAAAACAAAAACACTAACGAGAGAATTATAAAATGATTGTAACAAAAAAGATTAGGAATTAGACCATGAACTAATGGAAGGATATTACGGTAAATTGCAAAGCCGTTCACGGGGAGCCAATAAAAGGGAAAAAATAAGCATAACAAGAGAAAAAAAAGTTCACGAGCGGCTTTACGCTTGAAGACTATAGAACTCACCTTTAATTTCCGTAAAGCCAAAAGATAAAACAAAAATTAACTAATCCAAAATCAAAGAAATAATAACCACAATATATGCGTAATATATTTTACTTATAAAAAGAATATTAAAAGTTTTTTTTTTTAACTGCGAGACTAATATAGAAACGTATCAACTGGTCGATTAACTAACACGCACTAGATAATTTGGCTAGCCTTCTGCGTCTAAGAATATAGAAAACATGATGATTATGATTTTTTAAGGATATATATGATTATATCTGATATCGTGCAAAAAGATTTTACTAAGTTGCTTTTTGCATGATATCATATGTTGATGAAGAATTAAAGATAAGTGGAGTAAGAAGCAACTTGACGGAGTATACAATATCATTTCAATCATATTAACGTATTTTCGTCGATTTCTCCGATTCTTCCAAGTATATATATAAAATTTATTCCCAGTTTCTGACTACGTGTATGATCATAATTATAATATACATCAAATGTGCGTGATTTTTTTTTTCTTTTGTCAAATGCGTGAATTTAATTAAAAACGTAGAAGACAGGTAACTATAGTTTTTGGCGTATCAGATGAATGGTACGGTCCACAAAATATAAGTTTGGTTTTAAAAAAGGAGAGAGTGGCACGAGATCATAAAGAGTCGAGCTGTGAAGTCAAAGGGCATACATTTTTGTTATTATTACAGTTCTAATAATTACAAAACTCTCGTGTACCTTACAGATTCGTCCATATTATTATCTATACATTATAGAAATATATATATATATAATTGTCGCATAGATTCTTGACTTATTCTGTGTATGAGTTGTTGTATACGTAAAAGTATAATCTAAAACAAGATTTATAAGCACCCCACATTCCCTTTATCAAAAAATAAAAAATAAAATAAAAGATTTATAATCATCCACGTATATAGTATTTCTGATCATCTCTTTATAGGTTTAATGAGTATAACATGCAGTATATACATTAATTACATGGCCAGATAATTTAGATTTTGCAATGTACTGCACATTATCATGTAATGGAACATAATCAAAGCCATTCTTGTATAATTCACATACCATATACGGTTGACTGATTAATCGGTTTAGATAGGTGTGTAATATGATTTTAGTTTTTAACTTACTTTAAGGATACTATAAAAGATCAGACAGTAATCTACGCCTAAACATTTTAGACTCCAAATAGTTTGCAAATGAGTGATATATGTGTAAGAAGTTTTTGAACATTGTTTTTTACCGTCTCGTCGTCGTAACTAAGAGCACCAACAAAGATAGGCAACATATTAGGTCCACCTATAAGTCTTTGATTTTATAAATGCAACGTTAGCTTTAGGCATAGTTTTAATAAATGTTTTGTCTGACACATCTCTTGATCCTTCAGGATTCTTTCCTTATAACAGAAAAAAGTATTGAAATAAATAAGGCTTAGTTTGTACTTATTTGTCTCGTGCAACAA